GGGGTTAACTGTTGTCCGAAGTGTTATTCATTGCTTCCCCTTTTTCCCATCCAGTGCTATTGCAAATCCCCGGCGGAAGTCGTCCCATACAGGAATCCTTCCCCAGGGTTGGGCCTAAGGGGCTGGTTATTTTTTATCGGCTTGGGGGGGGGGGGAGAAGGGGTTTTTTTGCGACAACGGAGCACTTACGTGATCCCCCCTTACAGCATACAGTGTGGCTTTGATCCCCCCACATTGGCGGTGGAAGATTTCATGAATCCCCCCCCCCTTCTATCCCAGCCACCACAAAAAGCCAATGTTACTATACGCAAACAAGTGACATCTATATTAATGATACTTACGTCTCATGAACCTTGAACAACAACTTCACACATTTGGTCATCTGATATGCACTGAATTGTCTGTGAAGGGTTACTCTTCTCATCCAAATCGTTGAAAACAAAGTCATTGTCGCTCTCGTCCTCCTCACTGTCGAATTCTTCCTCATATTCTTAATCCCCTGATTCCCCGTCACTTTCATCTTTGGCGCCACTCGATTCGTCTGTGTTCACAGACTCTTTGATGTGTCGATAATAATGACATCGAATAGCTTTTACTTTGTCAAGCTTCAGGCCAATAGTGGTCAGTCCGTGTTCTTTCAGGTAAAAGTCAAGTTTTTTTACCTTTAACTTTTCGATCTTGCCACTCTCGATAAGGTTGTCCCATTTGTAGTCCTTGTATGTCCGTTGCGCGTCTTGCCTCTTTCGTTCCTCAGCTTCTCTTGTTCTGATGTCTTTTCTGATATCAATATCTTTTTAAAACGATTAACATATGTAACAACACTCTCCTTATCAACATTGTATTTTGAACAGAAGCTCTGTAATAGTATCTCCATCGTTTATGACACTGAGAGAATGTTCCTCATACAAGTCCTTCAAACATTTCTCGGGAGATAGTCATCCGGTGTCCTTTCTGTCGATTCCGTGTGAAAGACATCGATGAAATGTCCCCGATTGTTTGGGTCTGGTACAGGTTGTAGAGTTCTTTTTGTCTCTGGTCCCACCCATCTGTTGTTAGAACCCTAAGAACAGAGATTGGAGGTCTCCCCTTTTTTAGGCATCACGACAGAATTCCATAAAGAGCTCTCCACGGATATAATGGTCTTCCATAAACGATTCGATCTCATGTTTCTGAAGTATGCTGCACCAGGGAATTCCATTTTGTTTCTTCCTGATGCGCTCCGATATCTATCAAGATGAGAAATAGCAGAGTTTGTCCGTTCGGCTTCACCTTCCCCGCTGTCGCCCCTCGAACGATGGCATAGCACACGGTTATTGGAGTTGTGAATCCTTGCTAACTCGCGTCTCGAAACCTAACTTCGTGGTTAGGACCCGCATCTGTAAGGTCTGCCCATCTTGGCTTTACTGGTGGAAGGCAGAAATCACAAAGAACGTCAAGCCCCTGCTTGCATAACTCACGCACCCTTAATATTCTGTCTTTTCTCGCATCTTTTCCGATGGATTCAACGTCCTCTGTAAACAAATCATTAACGACAGCTAAAACACGTTTGGTGACAGGTATCTAACTTGAAAGCAAAGCTCTTTTGTGCTCTGACAAGAAATTATTGATCCTTATTTTCAAGTGCCTCACTCTCTGTCTTTCGTAGGCCAAAAAATGGCAATTACTTTCTTTTTCTCCAGTAATTTTGTCTAGGTCACCTGATTCTGTCATATCATAATAAAGAAAGAGGTCATCATGTAGTCGTGCACAGCATTTACGAAATCCCAATAAATTTTGTGGTCTTTCGGGTGTCATTTCATCAACTTCAAAAAACAAGAGATCCTCATATCGCAAACGGACCGTTTCACTGGCCCAAACACTCCCTCAAGATCCCACTATTGCCTTGCCTTCANACAGCTAAAACACGTTTGGTGACAGGTATCTAACTTGAAAGCAAAGCTCTTTTGTGCTCTGACAAGAAATTATTGATCCTTGTTTTCAAGTGCCTCACTCTCTGTCTTTCGTAGGCCAAAAAATGGCAATTACTTTCTTTTTCTCCAGTAATTTTGTCTAGGTCACCTGATTCTGTCATATCATAATAAAGAAAGAGGTCATCATGTAGTCGCGCACAGCATTTACGAAATCCCAATAAATTTTGTGGTCTTTCGGGTGTCATTTCATCAACTTCAAAAAACAAGAGATCCTCATATCGCAAACGGACCGTTTCACTGGCCCAAACACTCCCTCAAGATCCCACTATTGCCTTGCCTTCATAACACTAGACTTCGGAAAAATACGGTGAGAACCCGGGGTCACATAGACCATTTTCTCCGGCCAGTCATATTTTGGCAACTTCCTCGCCTTAGAATCATCTGATGACGTCAAGATCTTAAGGTTTCTAGCTTTGTCAAAACCTTCATATGTATCTGGTCTTAGGTAAACCTTATCATCGGTGCCTCTCATGAAACAGAACGTCTTTGCTTTGGAATTTCTAGCACCCCAGAATCGCATATTTATGTTTTTGACATGTGCTCTTTGGTAGTGAGTGTTTTCGTTTGTGCTCTCTTCGCCTTTTGGCGGCTCTTTACAACAAAAAAGGCCTTTCGCACAGTGACGCTTCGCCTGAAGACTTCTTTTGTGACGCGGTCTTGCCCTGTTGTACACTGTCGTAGCGGATCGGATTATTTTTTTTGCCACGTTTACCTATCGGTAGTTGGCTATTAAAAGGAGGTTCCTTTTCTTCACTCTCTGGCCGGTATAGAGGACCGTATCATGTCATCTGCCATGATAAGACGATTTGTCCTCTATCGCCTTTGCAATGAAGTCTTCATCTTCTTCATCTAACTTGAGCTTAGGGCTTTGGTTAGACAACTTTCGCCTCTTTAGTCTATTACTCTCAATGAGGCTGGAAGCCTGGCGCTTCAACATTTGTCGTTTTCTCTGATAATTGTTATCGGCAGGCTCACAGCAAAGTAGCTCCTCCGTGTCTTTAACTTTTTCCTTCAGTTCTTGCACTTCGTTGTCGATTTCTTGTAACTTTTTGGATGACCAAATACTTGTTTTCTTTCGATAAAGATTTTCTTTCCCTTGTACCGCCTTCTCAAGCTTTTCTTTCTTGGAATTCAACCGCAACCTGACGAGGTCGGCTGAGGCCTCAGTCGCATTTTTTATCTCTTCAAATACAAATTGAACTCTCTCCGCCATCGAGGGAAGACTGTCTGGATCAAAACCGAGATCTAACATTTCTTTTCTGGAGTATATGGATCGCAGTATTACTCTCAGGCAAATTATATCCCATTCTGTGTCCATAGTGGAAACGATACCTTGCACGGTTTCCTTATCAAGAACAAGAGCACTTTCTCCACTTTTAGTATCATAAGCACTAAATATGCCTAAACACAATGATTCTAAATCGACGTCATCAGGACGGAGGGTGACAAACTCAAAACCTATGCGTATACAAATAACACTGACACGAAGGCCATGTTTTTCATGAAGTAGGGCCTCGCGAAAGGCACCTCTCTCATATTTTGTTGGTGCCCCCTGAGTGATGACATTGAAACGGGAGATAGTACTCCAGCGCTTCGTGAAAGGGCATTGAGGACTTAAGTCTCGTTTTCCCATAAAGCAGACCTTATAGCTTGCCCTTTTTTTTACATCTGAAATTGCCCTCGATAATTCTTCTTCGATGATAGCTCTATTTTGCTTTAGAGTGCAAAGCTGTCGGGAGTTAACTATCACCATCTTTTTCCTCTAAAGTAGTTCAAAAGGTGTTCCATCTTAGATAAAACAATTTAAAAATAATCTAAAACATCCCAATACCGGTATTTAAAGCATCTTTCACTGAAGCTCAGTATGGACATGGATATCATGTTTTATTTCATTTAACTTTGGACTAGATCAGACAGTATACATTTAAAGTCATGAGTTACAGGAAACTTCCCCAGATATGATCAACTTTTCATTAATAAGTTATAAAGCAACAACCCTCCGGTTTCATTATGCAACACTATACAACAGTGTCACGTTGTCCTTTTCAGTAAATTAAAACAGGGTAAATATTGAAACATATTGTAGGTATTCATACCCTGGACCGTTGCGAGTAACTGTTAGGTCAACTTGATGCAAAGACCCCTTCGTCATCTCAATTTATTTACTGACCAAAACCACCAGGATGTGATCATTTGCAGTATACAAATACAAAGAAATAACTCAGTGTTATTTACCTCGTTGTCCACATCCGATACAACGCGCTCAGTGCTCGCCCTTCGCTCACTTCTCTTTTCGTTATGGCTTTGTCTTTGGGTACTTTTAGTAAGTACATTCACGGAATGTTGTCCCAAAAGATCTACCTTCTCGTTCGGAGAACCAAGCTTCTCCGCCATACTATCCATCCGTGTTTTTAATCTCTACCAGTGCCGAAGTCTTCTCAGAGCGAATATCTTTATTATTGTTACATGACATAGGCTCGATTACCAGCCGCTGTTCGGCAAAATGAGCCTGCGCTCATCTCTTAGGGGAGGATCAGAGACCGGATCCGGGAGACGGCGGTAATCGAGCCTAAACATGACATCGACATTACATCATATTACATCGTTAGCAACAACCACCAAGCTAAGCGTGCGAACGAAAATCGTTTTTTGCAATGACTTGTCTTTCAATGGATAGAGAAATTGACTATCTATAGTGTTTTTAGTTTAAATTACACAGACAATGCAAAAGTATTGTTCACCGACGCTGAAAGTTCCAGTGTAAGAAATTTTATCGCTAACTATAGAGAGGAATGTTTTGTGTGCTTAATAAAAAAATGATCCTGTTAAAGAAAAATAAATATAGAAAATTGTTTTTTACTAGGGCTGTCTGCCATTTGTCTTTTAAAGTCAGTGTTGCATTTAAAATATGAGAAGATCACTGTTTTTAAGAACATGCAGGTGCTTCATTACATTGACACAGTGCCGCTATTCGTACAGGACCTGTACACCGACGTGTATTTGCTATGACACGCGGGATCAAGTCTCTACTTTAAATTTATATGAAATTTCTAAGTCTCTTGAAATTTCTGATCAACAAATTTCCATGAAAGTGTAAGTCTCTTCAACCACTGTTCCATTTTTAAGGAAAAAATTTCAGTGGCAAATTTTGAAAAGAAGAAAAATTCGATGTGGCAAGATTGAGAACCGATCCGGGGGCGTAGAATCCATAGTTCGTAGCCTAACCACTCTACCATGGAGTAGTAACTCGCTGCTAGGTGGAGTTCGATGTTATTCACATAACAACAACGGTAACCCTAATTAGAAGCTAACCGTTTCGAGTCAGTGCTTTAATAGCCCTAATCAGTTTAGTCGGAATCCCGTATGAATAGCAAATACAAGACGATGTACGGGTCCCGTTCTTAAATAGCCAGTAGAAAATGATCCCACTGGCACATAACTCTTCTCGGTATCGAAGTGTTTTTGGTTGAGAGCTAAGATTTTCCCTATTACTCGAGTCTAACCTGATTGATGAGATTGCTTTGCATGGAGTATTTCGGCGAACCTACACAAGCAATATTAGAGTTTTTTGCCGCTTCCGTAGATAGGCTAGTCTGCTCCACAGCCGTTTTTAGTGGGGAGGAGCGTTGCGTGACGACACTAAGAACGGCTGTGTATCAGACTATCAATAGGCCTGCTGCCTTTTTTCAAAGGTTCCCTCACCTGGGAGAACAATGCAATATTTTCGTCTCACTGCTTTACTCTTCGACAGCGTCGGAATAGTACAATTAACTCTGAAAGGGACAACAATTTAAAGCCTTTAAAGACAGACATCTGAGACATCTCCACGATCGTGCCGTGATTTGACGCCATGTTTGGTGCTTGAACTGGCGTCCAGGCCTCCCCGCTTAGTGACTTACGCAATCACGTGGGGCTTTTGAACCAACAGAAATGTGTAGAAGATCAGTTTTCTTGGTTCGAATCTTTAGGCGGACTTCTGTGCAGTACGACAGTGTTGTGTAAACGGATAGTCTTTGCAATGAATGCATCCGAAAAGGATGTTATTTTCAACGCAAAATATCACTTGTGAGGTTGCTTATATTTGGCTTGTTTCAAATCGACTTCGATTAAACCATGACTCAGCTGGATCGCACATTAAAGAGGAAGGTAAGCTTAATATGTACACAACTCGTGTTTGGTTGCTCAACTGAATTCGTCCTCTCGATTGTCTGCTGTTTATCGGTTTTAATATGTAGTTTCCATCTTTCTTGTTCATGCAGATATGAATGTGGTCTTTCCTGCAAATTGCCTTTGGAATCCTTTGGAATAATCACTAATTCTTGCAGCATTAGAAATCGAAGACTGTACTTGGATGGACTGCTTCGATGTATAAGAAGAAATATCATATTTAGAATTTTCATGCCTGCTACGTAAAAACTATACAAGAGACTGATAAATTATAATTGTGGCTGACGCCGTTTTTTCCCAAGGATTAGGTAGGACTTTGCTTTAACTAAATACCATAGTGGTTCTGATCGAGGAAATAAGAAGCACTTCCATTTTTCGCCGCATTAAATAAAGCCATGTTTAAGTCTTACATACTGACGGTTTATGCATTTAAGTATTAGCTTATTTTTTTCTCTCAATTATGCATTTGTTCGCCTGTTACTTTTCTTAAACACCAGGCCAAGATTCCTTTCTTTATATTAAATCTAAATTTCTCATTTAAGCTACTTCAATATGATTGCTGCATTCTAAACTGCAGTGTATATAGTCACAAGTAAACATTAACTTGTTAAACTACAGTATGTCAAATTTTCCGCCAAAAGCATGTTAACTTTTGATTGATATCTTTAAAAAGAGATTTATGCGGTCGTTTTATTGATTAAATAAATTGCAGTGGACCAAAATCTGTTATGTATTCCATTTGATTCACTGGATATTTTAAATGTCTAATTCCTGTGAATTCCATGAAACTCCCTGGAGATCCATGGAATAATCGATGGAGCAGTTTCTATGAAATTGCATGGAACTTTTCCATGGAATTCCATAGAAAATGTCCTAATCCTCCATGGAAAATGTCGATGCAGAAATTTCCATGGAATTCCATGGAAATTGGTGTCGTAATGTTTTCCATGGAATTCCATGGGAAATGTCCTAATAATCCATGCAAATATTTTCCATGGAACTCTTTGGAGAAATTTCCATGGAAATTGATGTCCTAATCCTCCATGGAATTCCATGGAATCCCATGGAGGTTTTTCACACGGGTAATACCGGCCAGCGGGACAAGACAAATTGATAAGACATTTTAAAAGAATTGCTCACTATACAGGACCAAGAACTCTTCAAAAGTCACAATAAACGCAAACTTCGTTAACAATACAGTAAAATCACGCTTCTCTGGCGATAAAACGGCTCCTTTGGCTCTCAGTTTTAACCGCGCTTGGGCCGCCATATTGGATGAGAATATTCCCGAAGTCGGCCCGAATCGGAAACTCGTTCCTAGTACTCCTCGGCTGTCCTTTTAGGCACAATCCTTCCCCAGTCCTTCAGTCCATCAATTCGCCATCATTTTCTTTAGTCCTAAAAATATTCACCGCTATTCTGACCCTGGGCCCCCCTCCACTGTTAAAACATTAGAGACCTTTAGATTCTAAGACGAGTACGACTACGAGTAGGAGATTTTTTCAATAGTAATGGCGGGAAAACGTGGTAGCCGTCGTCATTCTACTACGAGTTTTAGCCAGAATGTCGAAGTGGCGGAAACAACTTATCAAATGTTAGAAGTTTTATCATTTCGCGATCGGGAGAGGGTGTAACCTCCTTCACTATAGGTGACAGTGCTAACTTTTCTAGTGAAAAATGGTAAATGAAGCTTTCCGGAGAGTCTATGATTTGAGAATACGCGAAAAAACTTTAAGTCAAATCTCGCACTCGTAGTCGTCCTCGTCCTGGAATCTAAAGGTCTCCATTTACTACCTTAAAGCCGTTAAAGCTATGACCACTAAACCTAGTGACTTTTCCTTAAAATTATCACGAAACATTTTGAAGTCGTCAAGACGAGTTCTGGCACCCACGATTTTCAAAATTTGCCTTTTTTTGTACAAAGTATTGATTTCTATTTTTACCCATTAAATTAAAGCATTACACTTAACTTAGCAATATTTGGTATTTTGCTGGTGCTTTTATAATACAATTTCATATGTTTTTAATATTGTTTTCTACAGACGTAAACGAATGCCGATTTAATCGAATGTGCAAGTGCGCTGATGGCTCGAACAACTGTGGAGCTCACTGTAGAGACACGCTTGGTAGTTTTAGTTGCTCTTGTAAAAGAGGTTACAGAGTGTTTCGTAAAACGGTGTGTGTAGGTAAGTGCGTTATGCAGCTGAAACTAGAGGGTGCTAAAACAATTGAGATGCAGAACTGTTCCATTGGAACCTATTGACTCCTACTCCAGATCAGACAAGGCGCAAATTAGCTGTCCCATCTTTAACCCAGACCGGGACTGAAAACGACGCTTTTATCCCAGCAGTGTTGCTGTTGCGTAGGGCGATTAATTCTTTAAGCAAAATAGTTACATGTACAAAGTGGAATAAGGCATCAAATTCAGCACAGAGTTTGTTTTAGGTGTAAATACTAAGAAAATCCAATACCTGCTGAGGATGCCCATATACCAAGCCAGGACTAGAGTCAGGACCTCGAGAAAGGACTAGACAGTTTTTCGCTTTCCCGCCATTTTCACGTCCTGCAAGTCCCATGACCATTAAGAAGGAAAGCTCGAGTTCGGGTGACCGTTAGGTTCGGGTTAGGGTAAGGTTAGGGTTAGGGTTAGGGTTAGGAGGTTACCAGTTAGGTTAGGAGTCCTTTTCGTTGCTTTTATTTTACTTTTTTTTGGTTTATTAATTATTTTTATTTATTTATTTTTTTGCTTACTGAAAGATTCGAAAAGTCCTAACTGGAGTCCTGGCTCGAGCCCAGACTCGAAGTCCTGGCTCGATTCCTGTCTTTGATATTAGTATATCTTGGTTGTGCTCAGCCTTGTTTTCACACAATTTAAAAGGGCTCTGTTTTGGCTGTCTTTTTTATTTTGTTTATCATGCCAGTCACGGTTACGCGTCCTTGAGAAATTGGAACAAAATTACAACTCTTTGTCAAACAAAATATGTCTTCCAAGCATTATATCAATCTTTACAAATAAAAAAAATGAACATTGAAAAACCATTTCAGTCGTCTTCTCGTTTGTCCATCCGTGCTTCCTTTTGCATTTGCTGTGTCATTTCTACCCTCTTCTAACCCTTTTGGGTGGTTATTTTAATGTTTCACTCAATTTGGTGGCAATTCTCTCTGTTTGAACATTCATACATTTTGTGACACGGCCTCTTTAAAAGTATTCATTTCAGGCGACACCGTTTTTTTCATCAGGAGAAACAAGGCTACAAGCGTTACTCAGACTACTTTTGGTCTCCTTTCTAGATATTAACGAGTGTTCGGAGGGAAAATGTGGACAGGATAGGTGTTACAACACTCCTGGCTCTTATTATTGCTTATGTAGACAAGGATTTCACAAAGTTAATGGAAAGTGCAAAGGTTATAATATAGTCATATGTTTTTTCCACAGGACTAGGGTGCTTTTATATTATGCAACATTTTTTTAGTTTAATTACTCACTGATTTCTTTCTGGGCAGAGTGAACATCATGTAGCGTAAAGGAACGTCGTGAGGAAAATATCGATGTATACGAAAACAAAGGTGCTGTGGTGATTCATCTCAAAAAATTTAGAGGGTTAAGTCCTAAGAGTGGTGTCTAGGTCAGTTCACTAAAATTTAACAAAGGTCAGGGGAGTATCTTAAAACCTTCATCGACCTTTTTCTTCTTCTTTATTGAACAGGCTTAAAAAACGTGCAAATTGCCAAATGGCGAATTCTACCTACCTGTTTCATGAAACACTAGTGTGTTGTCATTTTTCCGCGGAATGCTTTAAATTAACAATTCTTTTCGCTTTTTTTGTAGGGTTTAAAATCGTCCCGTGTGTTAAGTCTTTTCAACTGGTTTCGCGTTCATATTTGTGTTGCGCTCCTTTTTTTACTTTTTTTGGTGCAACGCCGACTTGCAACGCTGAAAGGTGCTAAAAATCGCCTTGAGAATTGTCCCGTCAGGGTAACATCACCTTCACTGTCTTTGTTTGCCAGATATTGATGAATGCGATAACAACAATGGCTTTTGCGAACACACTCGGTCTACTTGCGACAACAGACCAGGTAGTTATCGCTGCATTTGCAACCAAGGTTTTCTTTTGGACGGTAGCGGAAGAACATGTTCAGGTAAGGAGTCAGCTTCCTTCTTTTACTATGATTAGTTTTGTTAGAAAAAAAGAACAACTAATCTCAGTCAATCGACCACTACCACTATCTACCTGCAAACGAAAGACTTCCTCGGGGCCTATGCAACCACTGCGTCCACACCAATTTGTATCTAGCAACTTACGTCAGCCACTTACTTTATTATGAACTTGCGTAAGACGTATTAATGAACGAAATGGTTATCCATAGTACGTGATAAAGGTGCATACAATATTTCGGCAATATCATGTTTTCCCACTATTATAATTGTAACCAAGCCTCTCCTTAAAATCTGCATGTTATAAATGCCAACGACATCTCTTTCCCACCTCCTTCTGCTAAATGTTTTCCTGTCCGCAATTGATCAGGTCTGGGCTTTTCAACGTTGGAAAGTGCCCAATAATTCACTATCTAATTCACTATTCACTATCTTATCTACCGAATAATTCACTATCCAGCAATTAAGTATTAGGGGAACAAATTGCGTTATCCATGGCCACTGGATAGAGTTTTATCCAGTGGATAGCGTTCTCCACCTTTCGAACAACTGGGGCCAGGATACATTCAACCAGAGAATTTGTCGCAAAAGGAATAATACAAAATTCTTAACAGATGAGTTACGGTTGTTTTTTTGTTTTGGATTCAAAAATGGATTGTTTCATACAGGAAAATAATTCCCTTACGAAACCATATGTATTTTGAAACTGATTTTAAGTATTTAAAATGTATTTTCAGTATTTGAACACTATTTTCCTGTATTTTAATCCTGTTTGACAAAAAAATTTAAATTTTCGCCCCTGTTTGAAATATATCTTAAGTGTAGTTAAGTGTAGTTAAGTGTAGTTAAGTGTAGTTATGGTCTTTCAAGAACGAGCGAAGAAAAACTCCAATCTAGAATTCCATATAGGTAAAGAAACCATTGATGTTGTCCATGAATATACATATTTAGGAACCCGTATCTCCTCAACCGGTAATTTTAATATCTCACTCGAACACTTGAAAGAGAAGGCTCTTCATGCTCTTTTTAGTTTAAGAAAACACACAAACTTTAGCAAATTAAAACCTTCTCTTGCTTGCAAAATATTTGAAACGATGATTTCCCCAATATTATCATATAATAGCGAAATTTGGGGTGTATATGTAAAACATGATTTTAAAGCTTGGGACAATACCCCAATTGAAAAAACCCACTTGAAAGTTTGCAAACGTTACCTAGAAATAAGCAATAAAGCTTCAAATGTTGCAAGTAGAAGTGAATTAGGACGGTTCCCATTAATTATTAATATTTATAAAAACATCCTTTATTACATATTGTATCTTCTGCGTAAAAACGAGGATACTGTTGTTAAACAAGCCTTTCGTACTTCGCTAGAACTTCACTGTAATGGTAAAAATAGCTTTTACCATAATCTTATGAAAATACCTGAATATTATGACCTCCCTGATTTTGATCCTAATAATCTAAGTGAAGCTAAGATCAAACACTAGATATAATAAAACAAAACTATATTGCATATTGGCAACATACAATCCATCATTCTAAGAAACTACAATTTTACAGCTTATTTAAACATGATCATAAAATTTCAAGTTATCTAGACTTAATTAGAAATTCTGCTGATAGAAAAGATTTAGTGAAAATTCGTATAAGTAACCACAAACTCATGATTGAAACTGGAAGATATAATCAAACTTCCCGCAACGATAGATTCTGCCCTATTAATAACTCTGGTATAATTGAAGACGAATTTCATTTTCTCTACCATTGTCCAAAATACTCAATCCCAAGGGAGAAATTCTACAATCAGATCCAACAAAATTTTGTCGACTTTAATCAGCTATCTTACACAGAATTAATAATTAAATTAATGAATTCACAGAATTTTTCCGTAAATTCACATTTGTTGAAATTTGTCTCATTATGTAATGATTTACGTAATAATTTGTTATCAAATCATGCTGATGACACTTGATTGACTATAGTAATCATTGCATTGCATTATCATTGTTATGATTTGTTTGTTTGTTTGTTTGTTTTTTTTTATGTTAAAGCTTGAGCAACACTGTAACTACATAATTATAGTCATGCAAATAAAGCTTATGTTGTTGTTATTTCATCAAAAGGAAAACCTCTCTCATCAATTTACAATGTATTTTGTTTAATAAATATGATTAAAATAGGGTATTTAAAATGTATTTTGGGCATAGAACCACTAACACTATTACAAACAGAGTTCAAATAGACTATTTGAAATATGTTTTAAGGGCTTAAATGCGACTGTATTTTAAATACTTTTAAATAGGGTACTTTAACTCTGTTTTGAATTGTATCTAAAATGTATTTTGAGACTCATCCACTCACAAAGTTACAAGCAGAGATCAAATAGACTATTTGAAATATGTTTTAAGACCTTAACTTACTTAAACACTGTTTTGAGGTCTATTTGAATTGTATTTTGGGCACACAACACTCTAACTCAGACGACGATCCACTAGTATCCCATGATGCATTTTTCCAGAAGTATCACGCAATATCGCAGTCATGGCAGATTCCATCGTGAAATAAGGTCGTTTTCTCGTCGGCTTTTTTCTCATTCGATTTCCATCAGTAAAAGTAAGAAAATTGCATTATTTCGTTATTTGACGTGTTTTCTCCGATTTGCAATGCCTTAAGAGCGAAGTTTCCACATAGAAACATTTATTTTCATGGTTTCAACTAGTCTTCCCATCACAAAGTGTTCAGTGACCCACAACAAGGTCATGAATATTCAAGAATTTTAGGAATATATGTTGAAATCTTCCAAACGTGGACCTCACGCCAGAAAAATGAAGTCCTGAATACTGTACAGGGTAAGAAGTACCCAAAAGTACCCGCATTTTGAAGACTTTTTCATCGACAAAAGATAGCTGAAATTTCGAATCTTTTATCACATTTCAACGCCATGTTTGAGAATATATGGGTAAAGTCTGCTGAGGGCTACAATCTGTTGGGCGCTTTCGAGAGCGCTTTATGCCGAAGCAATCACTTTGTATTTTCAAAGTGGTTATTGTTAAAAGGAATTTGACGATAATTATTTTAATTTGAAGAAGGAACGGTGAATAATGGTGTGTTTCACTGTGATAGGAACCCAAAGAAAGGTGCCACGCAGCATGTAAGCCGGCACAACGTAAACAAGCCTGCTCAGAATTTGAAAAAGAAACATCAGAAACTTTATTTATTTGAAAAAACAGATCCGTATTCTGGCCAGGAAAGTTCCTTGCATGAAGATTGCTTGAGTCAGTACCGGGTAGATTGTGCTTCAGAGAATTGTTTGTCGCATCGATAGGTTAAACTTTATTTGTAACTGCCGTTGTAAACTGAGCGCCTGTGAGCGCGATGCCTTAATAAATCCTCCTTTGGTAATTAGCTTCACAGCGTAGCAGCTGTTTTGTTAATTGGAACCACTTTTTTGATCAGTCATGGTTTTGGTTCTCCTCAGGCCTGGGTACGGTTCTCCTATTGAACCGAGCGAAGCTTATCAGTTGCCGAGTCTTATACTTCGTGTTTACAGTGTGACCGAGCGCACAAGCAGTAGTTCTCGACAGATCACTGAAACACATGTAAAACCCTTAGTCAAAGTAATGCTGAAACTCTCCTTTAAAGCATAGCGAATATAAGCCAACTCGATAATCTCAACTAAAGCCGAGAAGCTGCTGAACCGAAACATGTTTGGAACCATCCTCATCGAGCACTGCAATGCTCATTTCCCGCGTGCTGAAGATTACTGATCATGATATGTCACGTACGCAGTGATAATATAACATGAAACGAGGTGCATCATGGGATACTATTCGATCGTCGTCTGACTCTAACCAAAAACAGATTATACATAAACTATTTAACGTCTGCTCAAAGACATCAAATGCTCACCTTACTTTAAATACTTTAAAATAGAGTACTTATTACTTATTATTATTGAGGTGCAATATTGTAATGTATTTTGGGATACTTATACTCAGACAAAAGTAACAATTGCACAAAGTTAATTTTTAAGCCTTCATCGTGTCACGAACTCATAAATGACACAAAACAAGCTGTCATATAATGTGGACCGAAGTTCGAAGTTCTAAGCTGAGCGAAAAATTAAATCTCCCAGCAAATCAAAAAGAAATTGAAAAAAGAGAAGAAAATTAGGAATAGATTTTAGCTTTGACTGACAACACGTAATTGTGACAGTGTGCCGATAAAAGATCAATCCGTTCCTCAATGTTCATTACCTGCAAGCTCTCTGAGAAAATCTCCCGCCTAGATTTTAGCCGTGAATCAATTAATGCAGTTAGGGGACATTCCGTAAGTTTTTTTTATAAGAAACTTCTTAAAATCGCATTTTAATTTCATATAGAAATTTTTCACAAATAGCCGAAGCCGCGGGCCGAGAACCGGATGCACACGGTCAACAGAGGTTTCTCTAAAATAAGCCCTTGAAATTACACAAGCTTAGATCTCACCTCGTATATATTGCACCAAGAAACAACGCTCAGATCTGAATAAACTCCGACATATGGTTATCTTTTTCGCATAGATTATTCAGCACATGCACGGCATATTATTTCTGAGATGTCACGCGCGACTGAAATCACGACTTCGCGCCGCGGTGATGTGACAAAAGCACGTGATAAACAAACCGTCCTTTGTCCTTTGCTCATTTCAAATTATTAAACCGGCGGTTGCTGTGAGCTTAAATGCGCTTGATTTTACTGTTTGTTACGATCTTACAAAAGTACACTTCAACTCTGCGGATTGTCTGAACACGTAGATGTTGCTTTTATCTCGAAACAAAAATGGGTATGACTCCACAGCGACTGCTATGCCCTCGAAAGGTTCTGGTTCAGGCGGTGCACGCGGTCTTCCAAGAGTCTTCTCTCAGTGTGAGTATTATATACAATGTTCCCTCTATATGCATAACACTAAGACGCTCCAATATACTCCATATGAGAAACAAATGAAGGGTAGTAAACATTTATATACTCCCGCCTGTACGGCAATTTTAGGTTTTACAGCATTCCTTGCTCAGCCTCGCTGTTCTCGGTCACTTAATGTCATGTCTCCGGCCTCTTTCATTCTCGCGTAAATTTGATGGTGTTATGTTGTTCTTTATTTTACCGGTAACGTCAGTAACGCTATACCCTTTTGAAGCCAAAGATTGATAGCCTGTGTACAGACCCCCCCCCCCCCCCCCCCCCCCCCAACGGGCCCCCCCCAGACCTACCCCCTTTCCCCCCCCGCCGCTCTTCCCGTCTTTTGATAGCCTGTGGTACGGCCCCCCCCCCCCCACTCCCCTCCGATTTTTATTGAGGGAAGGGGGTCTGTACACAGGCTAAAGATTGATTTGAGCATTTCTAAAGACTTCCATAAGAATTTCCCGAGCATTCTTAGGGAAATCAACGTAAAGTAATCGGCTAAGAGATAATTCTCGTAACGCAAAAAACCCTCCGTTAAATCGCCCCTCCGAATATAAGCCCCCCGGGGGGCTTGTACTTGGAATTTGCCCTCGAATACAAGGTAAAACAAAGCAAAAATGGTAAATTTCCTTGCCACTACAAGCTAGCCCAATCGATTTTGAAACGCAAAATTCCCTCCGTAAATAAGCCCCTCCGAATATAGGCCCCTCCATAAAAAGCCCCTCAAAAAGGGCCTTTGAAAAATATAAGCCCCGGGGCTTATTTTCGGAATTTTACGGTATGCGTGCTATTGCTTTTCTTCTTCTGTGGTATTTTAATACCATTTTCAAAGTATGTTTACTGTATTTACAAAGACGAGTATTTTACTAAATTTCGAGACCGATTAAACAGCTATTAAAATATATTTTGAAGTATAACATTTGAATAGCGTTTTAAACAGGTTAAAACACCTTTCAAATCAGTCGAAAAATATATTACAAATATATTTTTGCACCTATTTTAAACCTGTTTTTTCAAAATACGTTTAAAATTGCCATTAAAAATAGTTTTAAAATAGTATAGCAAATTAAAATATGTTTTTGAAACTGTTTTTATCCTGTTTTTATTCCGATTTATAAGGTATTTAAGAGCGCCTGTCTGTAAAAATCAGACAAATTCAAAATTTCATGCACTGCAACGGTGGAAACTTCGATTTCTTTCATATCTTAATGTTTCATAGGCCAGGGTATAACTAAAATCACTGTATAGTTCTTTCGGTGAAATAACCTTTTATTTCAGAGATAAATGCAAATAAGCAAAATCCGTTGTAAAATCGTCATTTGAGGCGCTCAATTATTACATGGGTTTGAAACAAGCCTCGCGTGCAAACACCGATTACTCTGCCGTCTTTAAAACATCACAGCCTTCTTTTATAACTTCTAAATATCTGTTAAAATCATTTGGGGAGATAGTGCTCTGTTCTTCGTATACAATATAATTTAATTTCGAAGGCATACAATTTATATTTTATTAGATTTTCGAACATTCACAATTATTCCACGAGGCAAAGTATGAGGCTATCCCTACCAAACGTTAAACAAAATTTTCGGGGAAAAGGGCCTTTCTTTTTACTGGCGCAAAAATTTTTAACAATCTCCCTTTAAACATTGTGATCAGTGAAAACATTCAAACGTTCTGCCGCCGAGCAAGACATTTCTTTTTATCATAACTTTGATACTTTATTACTATTTTAGACTTTAAATGGGATTTGGCATTGTATTTTTAGGCTTTTAATGTAGTTCTTAAATTCTAGTATTGTATTTTTATTAGGCTTTTTAAATGTAATAGGTCATGAAAATTCTTGATGTAATTTAATTTTTTTAAGATACAGGGCCCCTATGGAGACCAGCCTTTGAGCTGAATGGGCTACCCTGTGTAAATAAAGTTTTATTTTACTTTACTTTAAAAGTAATGCGTGAAAAAACATAATTTTCACCAAGTGCGAAACCTTCAAATCGATTAAGCTGCTTGTCGTTGAATGTTAGAAGGATGGTCTACAGATTCCTGTTAAATTTCTTTTGGAAAATGATTACTAGCGACGAGAGAGCTTTACAAAATCTGTTAAGAATAGTATTTGTCCTGTGACTACGTTGACAGTTGGCGCGGTGTACAATTACACGTTAAAAGACAAAGATCAAACGACTCGATAATCGGGCTTAAATGGCCTTTCGACTCGTCGTTTACAGCGGATTTTAAGGTAAGAACATTTCAAAAGGGTTTCCTATCTGCTTATTTTAACTTAATGTGGGTTTAGACAAGTTAAGGCACTAAATTTTATGTCCGACTCGCAACTTCAAAGTTGACCGCGGAAGGTCAAATATCTGCATTTTGAACAGATTTTGTAAAGCTCTCGCGTCGCTATTAATCCTTTGCACATAGAAATTTTTACAGGAATCTGTAGACCATCCTTCTAACATTCAACCACCAGCAGCTTAATCGATTTGAAGGTTTCGCACATAGTGAAAATTATGTTTTTTCACGCATTATTTTTACTGAAGTAAATTGTATACCTTCGAAATTAAATTATATTGTATACAAAGAACATGCTGAGCACTATCTCCCCAAATCATTTTAACAGATATTTAGAAGCTGTAAAAGAAGGCTGCGATGTTTTAAAGACGGTAGAGTAATCGGTTTTTGCACGCGAGGCTAAAATCCATGTAATAATTGAGCGCCTCAAATGTCGATTTTAACGGATTTTGCTTATTTGCATTTATCTCTGAAATAAAAGGATATTTCACCAAAAAAAACCATACAGTGATTTTAGTTATACCCTAGCCTATCTAACATTAAAATATGAAAGAAGTCGAAGTTTCCACCCTTGCCGCGATATGTTTGATTTTTACGGACAGACGCTCTTAAAAACTGTTTTAGACCTGTTTTGAGCCTTGCAAAAAGCCCTGGAATTTTTTATATCTTTTAAAAGAATTTTAAAATACTTTAAAAATTCTTTTTAAAAGCGTTTTAAACAGGTTAAAACACCTTTAAAAGCAGTCGAAAAATACGTTAAAAATACACTTTTCACCCTATTTAAAACCTATTTCACAAAACAGGTTAAAAACAGTTTTCAAAAATAGCTTAAAAATACACTCAAAACAGTGCTGGATTTGGTAAGTCAAGTAAAATTCATCAACGACATTCCTCATAAAAGCATTTTTTTAAATATTGGTCCTATGGAAGCTCGTCAGTCTCTTGGGATTCGTTTCCACGCGAAGTGAAAACACAGTTGTGCTTAAAATACCCAGGATTTGAGAGAGTTTATTTATTTTATATTATTTATTTTCATTCTTTTTTAACTGTATCTACTAGATATTGACGAATGTAGCAGTTTCCATGGCTGTCAGGAAAAATGTATCAATACCGTAGGTGGCTACCATTGCGAGTGCTCAAGAGGATATAGATTAAAAGACAATCAAAGAACATGTAAAGGTAAACTTATTATCATTCACTCGAAATACTCCACAGTCGCCGTTTCTGATTGGCTCCAACCCCTGGATTATTTTTCATAACCAACTTACCATATTTGGAAGATGCAAGCAATATACCATCGATTCGATGGTATCTTTGTGTAGTGGATTTTGCTACTGGGCTAGTGAATTATGTTCTTAACTAGCTCGATGAGCAACTGAAATTCAATTTATAGAACTGTAATTAATGTTGGTGGTCAAGAATTTTTTAAGGAGAGGGGGTCAAAATCAACTTCTAGCGAGTACATGCTAACTACCACTTACCAAAAAGGCCAGCCTGAAAACTGAATTTCTGTGCATCCTCAATAGCCAAGATTTTGCGTTTGTCTTCCATATAGATATTGATGAATGCAAAGCAGAAGATCTAACTGGCACCAATCACACAGTTAAACTGGCTCTCTGCCAGCAGCTTTGCACAAATATCCCAGGAAGCTATCAATGTTCTTGCAGAGATGGATACAGTCTAACGTATGACAAGAAACGTTGCATAGGTAACTTGCACCTTCCTGTAATTCAAGCTAAACCGACTTGGTAATATAATGTGTAATTGATTTAAATTGATTTAAAAAGGCGTCTATCGAGGTTTGAATTCTACCTCAAGGGACGGACCATAAAAAAAAAGTGTTAGACGAAATGCGACGTGCATTACACGACTAACCTTAATTACAACGAGACGAATAAGAATTCTCTTTCACTAGTGTTGACGAGAGAGCGTTTTGCTTTTCCAAACGGTTACAAGCATTTTCCACGTTATCTAAAACGTCACGAACTGTCTCACTACGATCTACACTTTCTTGGGTATGAAATTTGTAAATTTGTACCAAACAACATACCAAAATTTAGTTCACGAGTGCATCCCTTCCTGGGAACCTAGGGTTTAAGTTAACTGAATAGCTTCACATCTAAAACGAGGAGGAAGGTACCTCCATGTTGTTTACCTTGTTTCGATAAATGGGACATTGGCTGACAAGTCTTTTAAGTTTGCCAAGTCGATGAAGAATGTCTCACGCTTTCGGAAGCTAACAAAATTAGATATTGCCAAGGCAAGGGCGTCCTTTGCTGAATCTGAACTAAGGCCTTGGCCAAACGTTCAACTTTGCATAAGACGAATCAAACCCTAATTTGGTTCGACCTAAATTAAGTTAAGATCCGTCTGTTGAGTCGGACGTCGAACTTAGGACGCCTCGAACCAATCAACTGAAGCAATTAATTCAAAGAACAGTTTTAATCAATTTTCTCTCGAACGAGGCTAAATACAAATTTTTTGTCTATTTGTTTAGTTCGTTGCATGTGAAGATCGACGTTTTTCCCGGAGACGATCTGCAGACGTTCTATCGGCCTGAAGCTAAGGGATAGAACGCATTGAACGATCCAAACTCATTCACACGTACTTTTAAAAGAGCGACTGTCTGAATATCGACCAAACTCAGCTTTTCGTGGCACAAGTTCAAAATTCGAATTTCGCTCATTTTTGGCTTATCGATAACCTTTACTGCGCTTTTCACAAATATGCGAACTCTAAAGTTCAAATGCCGCCTTCACAATTGCGTTTTTCGCTGCCGTCAATCATAATTACGATCACAAGCAACGAACCTTGAAACACAGAAAGACACAAAACGGGTCGAAATCCACCAATCACAAATCACAAACCTTGACCTTTTGAACCCGTTAAAGTAAAGTTTTGTTTCCTAAGAGGTCCGTTAAGATGATTGACGGCAGCGAAAAATGCAATCGTCAGTTGGCTTTTGAACTTCAGAATTCGCATGTTTGCGAAAAGCGCAGTAATGAGTAATGAAACATGCTGTAGTTAGTTTTCCTAAATAACGTGTTCCTTTTGTCAAAATTCGAGAAAACTCATTTTGCCCGTTCGGAGCGCAAAATCCACTTCCGGTAAAGCGAAATTTTACACAAATTTCATTGACTCGTACGTCAAACCGTAACGATTTGGCAGCCTTTGAAGAACACGAATAGTTTTCGTGACCCCTTCTTTCTTATAAGACGATAAATTTGTGAAGGCTGTAATAATTTTGTGGCCAAAAAGGTATTGTTAAAAATAGGCCCTATTGACAATTTCTACATTTCAAAATTATAGGGATGAAATAATGCAAATTTTTACGATGCGCTATAACTTAGAATTTCGCAAATTCACTTTCTACGGCTTAACTGGGCCCCAGTCTATCAGAAAATCGAAACAAATCTCTGGGCAAACGACTTTAAGTATAGCCCGCAAGACCTCGAGTTCAACCCTTATTTTGCAAAACATCGCGACATTGCAGTGGTTAAAAATAGCGTTACGCAGCCCGTCACGCCTGCGATGTTAACGAAAGATATACTTTCTATTCAACGTTGATAACATGCCAAATTCCAGCATACAATCTATATTACATCTTTCAATACGACTTATCTCATTTAGAGGAGTCATTTCGTTTGGATATAATACATAGTGCAGAATTGCCCTAAAGTCGGCTTTTTTGAACGACGTCGAAAAAACGTCGGCGACCGAGCCCAACGAAAACAGACTTTAAACAAGTACAATGGTGTGTTTTATTAATTTAAGCATCCGTAAAAAGGCATAAATATGTTAAATTTAAGACGGAGACAGCCAAGTTAACTAATTAGAACACTTTCTTTTTCTTGCGAGTTTTCTCTTTCAAGTAATTGCCCCCGCAGGGCCGGAACCCGAGGAGGCACCCTAATGTCTCCCGCGTAAAGTAAAAGTATCGTATCGTCGTAGTGTTAGTATGCGCAATTTTCCCGATTTGATGAAACTAGGCGCGCACGGTGGTCCCGGTTAATTTTCAGCGTGTGCGCATGGCTCAGCAACCGCGCAAACTGGGTTTGTCAACGAGTCGCATTCGCCGAATTGTGTCACACACAAGCACAACAAGTGGCTCCAAATCCTCGCCCAGGAGGATTGTCCACCGAAACTCCTCTGGAGCGAGAACGTCGACTTCAAATTCAGCGTGAACAACGAAGGAGAAGACGTCAACAAGATACCACGGAGCAGAAGGAACATCGATTAGCACAGCGAAGGCAACGCCGACAGCAAGATACAGAGGAACAGGAGATTGGAATCAGAGGAATTATGATCGTTTTACACTGTCGAAAACCCGGATTTCTTAGTTTGCCGGTCTCCCCGCAGATATATAGATCAAAGGCTGCAAAGTTTCAGCTCTGTATTACGGCCCGAAGAATAACAATTTTCAGGCGAACTGCACCGGGCCATGATTTGTTCTTTGTTTTTGTCTTTTTATAAATCCGGACACCGAAATAATGCTAAATCTGCTTTTCAATACACTGTTAACAATAACACCACGTAATACGCAAAAAAAGAAGAAGAAGGAAAGAAAGAACAACGTATGGACCGTTAAGACGATATTCGCGGTTGGTCACCCATCCACTTCGTAACCCCGACCGACAGGGCTTAACTTGAGTGCCGTTACCAGGGTTAGTTTATTGCGAAATCATTTATATCAGATGCGTTCAAGAATGTCACACTCGAATTCAAAGCATTCGTTCGACACATTAGTTATAGGACATTTATATTATTAGGGCTCTATTAGTTACAAATAAATAATTAAAGATGGTTTTGTTGTTTAACACGCGTTCTATTACATTTGCAGTGTTGGTTGAACTCATTATGGGATGTATAAAAAATAATTTTCCATCCTAAGCATGACATGTATCTGGATTTTCATTAACCCAGGAAACGAAGTGTAATAATTGAGAAAACAGAAAACAAAAGAATTCCACTCAGAAACTCTAATACGAAAACTGCATTTCAAAGGTTCATGGCAAATACATGGACAACCACAAGGAGTCTTCATTCGGGTTTTAAAAGGTCGGGGGCAGATTTAGTGACAACTATGACTAGTTATGTATAAGTATACATGATACATGACGTTTCAATGTATTACTATCACGCTTATAAAGGTACTTTGTAACGAACGTTTCAGAAAATATTTTAACTCGTTTCGATCGACGATGAAACACCATCGTCAAAAACAAATCGCCTAAAACTTTCCTCTTCAGCAAAACGGAAAATAGAAAAAAAAGTGGCGTTTGACTAATGCTAAAGCAGGAAGCGTGAGTATGAGCTTTTAAAATGTCAAATGCTCCTACATGGAAATCTACAGATTCCTTGCATCGACATTGGAAAAAACTCTCTAGCCCACTATGAACTAGCCTGTTGCAGGCGTAGTGGACAGTGGATAGTGCATAGTGGACAGTGGCGCGAAATGGAGAACAGAGGAAAACAAACGTGGAAGAGAGTAAGAGGGAGAGAGTAGGAGGAGGAGAAGAGGTTCTTTCGCCCTCTCTCCAAAACCCCGCCCCTTCGCCGTTTTTTCTAGCTCACTTTTCTTTCCGTTTTCCTAACGATCTGAAGGCCTGTTACAGGTTATTGCGCAGGTTATCGTGCATTCCTTCATTTCCAACCTTTTATGGTATATATTCAACTTGAGCGTCGAGCACTTTTGGCGCTTTGTTATTGATCAGCAGAAACGGATTTGGTAGTACTAACTTTTTAACTGCTTTTTGACAGTGAAACTGTCATTTTTTTCTTTCTTGTTTTCTTTCTATTATTTTTTCTTTGTCAATTTCTATCGTATTTTTAGACGTATTTTTCGCTTCTCTCCCCAGTCTCACTCACTCTCCTCTCCCACCCCCGTCTGCTCCAGACAGGAGGGCATGACCATTTGTTTTGCTCCAGACCATTCGTTCGATTATTCGCGCGTTCTTGGCTTAAGCAAAAAGTACGGGCTGTTTTTTGGTCTGAAAGACTTTTGCACTGATTGACGTTTTAGTGTCATGGAAACTCTAGCTGTAATACTGAACTGCAGATGACAGGTTAAAAGACTGAAAGTTCATTTCAACAGCGTTTGGAAAGAGAACATCGTCTTTTCCGCAAAAGAAAAGAAATAAATAAATAACAATAAAAATAGGGAAACAAAATAGAGTATAATACTAATCTTGTAACGAACGAATGGGAACACCTAAAAAGGAAAGACAGACTTGAGGAACTCTATCTTTCCTGCAGCCCTCTTTTCTCATCCTCCCTAGCCTTAGTCCATGAAACTTAGACACCCATGGTACCCTCTAGAACGTCTTTCCTCATGCTATATATACTACGGATAAGCCCCTTTGAAGGCACTAATTGAAAGTCTGGGTAGTGGTTATGCTGCTGAGGCCTTCAAACCCTGACTCTATTTAAGACAAAAAGAGTCATTTCACTACCCTCTTTTCATTTTTCATAAAGAATTAAGTAATAAAGAAGACGGAAAAAAATGAAAAAAGAAACACAGTTTACTGTTGAGATTTTTTAAAAGTTTGTTGGTACCGCACTTGTAGACGGCGCACCAGCCGCCAATGTCTACCCCCTGTTCAAGGCCTTTCATCTACAAAAATACCATGTTCAAGACGCTTGGAATTGTATAACCTGTTCAAGAATCAAGGCCCCAAAAACCTTACCTTTGTCTTTGTCACAAAACCGAATTAGACTGAGAGCCTTAGTCTGCTTTACGGAAGTACCATGTAGATCTCCGGAAGAATTGTTTGCAGCCAGCCCTCAAAACCCCAAGAGACTTCGCCTGTCGCTGGTCAATGAAGGCTACTCCAAAGAACTGCTCCAGAAAAACTATTTTTCTTAACATTTGTCCGGAGTAGAGGAAAAGCGAGTTTGCTGTTGCAACGATCTGCCATTGCATTTGCCACGATCTATTAGAAAAATGCACTTCACAAGGCCCCTCAAGGTATTGAAGATACATGACGCATTCACGGTTTGGGCAAATGGTGAACAGAATTCAGGACTGACGAATTTTGATTCCGTTCGATAATCGCGTTTACCATTTGCCTAAGTCAATTTCGTTTAACGAAAAACGGCCGCGAAAGCCTGAAACTAATGTTCAAAAAAGGTTTGAAGACATGAAATCCGAATTTCCGCCTGGAATTTTCCAACCGGGAAAACAGGGAATGTGTTTTCAGACGTTCCGTTTGTTTCAGAAATTTTCCACTGAAACGTCGAAAACAACCCGAAACTGAGTTAATAATAAGCCTAGCAAAGCACCAAAGTGTCTTCTTAGTTTTTTTTAATGGGTCATATTTAGAGTCATGCACTAGCTTCATGATTCATACACGTTGTCATACAAGTATATAGGCTCCTCTTTGGCATCCACGTACCTTCTTTTTTTTTTTTTTTTTCAGTTGAGAGCCCGCAAGGGTAAAAACTTCTAAGAGAACTATTGCACTAATACTTAGTCGAAAATATTTAATTGCTTCAAGGAAATTGGTTTTTATAAACCGAATGGCATTGTTTGGCGATCATTTAATTCGTAAATATCCCGCAGTGCAAAAATTCATTCAGTAAACAGTTTTAGTTTTTCGATTTTTTCCTGTTTATATACCATTTTTTGAGGGAAATCGCCAGTCTGAAACTGAACGTGAACGTGTGTGACGCTATCCCGGGGACGCAATATGTTGTATCGGAAGAAAATACTACAGTCAATGAGAATGATAGGTTTACTGAAAGATGTAATTTCGAATTGGTTTTTAATCTGCCTTTAAGTAAATTGTTTAAAGCGTATCTATCGGTGACACTGGCGTGACGGGCCGTGTCACGCTATTTTTAACCATGCGAATGTCGCAATTCTTCGCAAAATTAGGGTTGAACTCAATGTCTTGCGGGCTATACTTAAAATCGTTTGCTCAGAAATTTGTTTCGAATTTCTTATAGATTGGGGCCTAGTAATGCCGTAGAAAGTCAATTTGCGAATTTCTAAGTTATAGCGCGTGGTTAAAATTTGCATTATTTTATCCCCATAATTTTAAACGGTAAAAATTGTCAATAGGGCCAATTTTTAACAATACCTTTTTGGCCACAAAATTATTACAGCCTTCACAAATTTATCGTCATATAAGAAAGAAAGGGTCATAAAAACTATTCGTGTTCTTCAAAGACTGCCAAATCGTTGTAGTTTGACGCACGAGTCAATAAAATTAATGTAAAATTTCGCTTTACCGGAAGTGGATTTTGAGCCCCGAACGGGTAAAATGAGTTTTCTCGAACTTAACAAAAGAACACGTTATTTGGGAAACTAACTACAGCGTGTTTCATTACTCACTAAGGGTTATCGATGAGCGAAAAATGAGCTAAATCAAATTTTAAACTTGTGCCGACCGTGGGTCGATATTTAGGGAAAGCCACTCTTAATTGAGCCAGACGTCAACCTTTTCGTTAACTAAACACACTAAGTCTTCGTTCACATTATACCGAATAGCTTTTCGTGGCGCCACGAAAAGCTATCACAGAAATCGCGCCTCCACAGCCATTTTTATGTGTAAACAGAAGCCCCATCCGGTATGGTTTTCGTGGCGGCGCAAAAGCTATTCGGTATAGCCTGAGTTTGGTTGGTCTGATGAAAAGTTCGTTCGACGTTTTGCCTAGGCCTAAGTGCACGATTTTCTGGCGAGGCTACAGTGCTTCCTGGTGATGTTGATGCTACAGCTACCCTAGTTTGTTCGTGCTCATTATCAGTGTGATATCTGCACAAGGATCAGAATCAAGAACTGCCACAACCTTTTCAATGTATACTTCTCTGATTTCTTTGCCGTTTTTATGCGTCGTTTACAAACGTAGCAAATCTTCACGACGGTGAACGTGACCAATGAATACCATGCTGAATTACTGACATTGAACTGGCAAAAACAGACATATATTTGAAAATGTTCTTATCATTGCTAACCCAGCTGAAAGCAAGTTATAAAGTATACAAATACAGATCTTTTACCGAAAAAAGTAACTTATCAAGAAGTCAGGATGGCTTCATCAGTGCTCTGACGGAAAGAGCGTTGTTTGCAGTTGTTACACAGGTTGGTCGAATGTCGCAAAAGCCTGATATTTTAATGTCGAAATATGACCATAAAAGGAATAAATTTTATTTCAATAACCTGCTTTCTTCTATTCAATTTGCCTCAGACGTCGATGAATGCATGGTAGGAAAGCATAATTGTGATGGGAAATGCCAAAACACCATTGGAAGTTACCGCTGTTTATGTAGTGTGGGATACAAACTTGGTGCTGATGGTAGAACTTGTGAAGGTAACAAGTTAAATTATATTTCTTTCAACAAGAATTTTTTGGAACATAAGGTTATCGAACTCGGTATTTTGATAACTTTAGTTCCTATGGCGCGTTTTCAGGGTCGATATTAAGTGTATGGTTATACCACACCAATTTGATAACCGAATAGATTGTTATTCTACGTCATGATTTTCAGTCTTTGACCACTGCATGGTGACATACTGTCTTGCAATGGAATCCTATCGTTGCGTAATGAATTTTAAATCTGGTTTCCGCGCATGTATCCTTACTTTTGAAATCTTTTCCCAAATGGACATCAACGTATCAAAGTTATGGCCATCGATATGCCATAACGCATGAGGGCCACTTACACAGTGGACTGCTCTGGGCATTATTGATCGCCACCTCATGGCAACACCCTCTGGATCAGTTCTATGCATTGCTTGTCTTACTCTTCTCTGGGAAACCTTGATTCCCTTTAACAAGACCTGTGACTGAATCGTTTAGTACCCTGCATTGCGGAACAGTCTCTGTATACTCTGCACAACTGCGTCAGTATAATGGAGCTTTTCTTCTCAGTGAAGCTCATACTCCCATAGTCTCTTCTTCACTGTACTTTTAAACACATACTCCAAGAATCTATGCAATGACAGGAATGGTGATTTCGTTCTCAATGTCCATCCATGGGCGGCCTACACACCAGGAGGGACTCACACCAGTACTTGCGTCAACATTCTGACAGGGAAAGTTTCGATCTGTCTCGATCTGTAGTCTTGCCACGATGTCAAGCTCAGTCCGCACTGCATCGTAGGAGAAAGAGTTGCTGTAGCCAGAACAAAACATAATCGGCTACGTCTTCACTGATATCCTGCTGCAACCTTTGAGAAAAATCCAAAAGAACCTGTCTTATATTGTTTACAAACTGTGTTATGCTGTTTGGTTCACCGCCAATTTTCATACTGGCCCAGTAGCCATGCACGCTTGCTTCCAGTCTCTTTACGCGCCCTGTCGGGTAGCTCGCTGATTGCAAGTTTGCAAGTCCGTACGACGAAAGTGGATTCAAAAGTCACTGCGAGTAGCGTTTCCTGTTGGACTTTTGGGGGAAGTGCATCAGTCAAGAGCATGCATTCTCAAAATTGACTAGAGTGAAGTAGGCGATGATTTCATAGCTCGTATTTAAAAAAATACTTCTGTTGTTGAAATGATGAAATAATCCTACTGCTACACATTAAGCATTAAGTAAGCGTGCCTTTAGATTTCAAAATTGATAAATTTTAAAAAAAATTGTACCTATAAAAATTGCTTTATTTGTTTTCATCATCACATAATGTTGCTACAGTAAGTACATCTTTCGTAAGTGAGCGTGGAAACATGTGGGAGTAGATTTCAAAAGTAAGGATGGATGCGCGGAACCCATTCTCAAATTAACTTCGGTAAGAGGTGCAGATAAAAGTCATGACGCAACGATAGAATTCCATTGCAAGGCAGCATGTCAACAGAGGTCATTAACTGAAAATCATCACGTAGGATAAAAATACGGTTACCATACACTTTATTTTGACCCAGGAAACGCGCCATAGCAGTTCATCCGTTTATTAAATTTCCTATTAAGCAAAATGTATTTCTTCTTGCAGCCCTGTTTTTCAGTTCTTTAAGGCAGTATCTCTCCTGAATAAGTGCCCCACAGAGAGATAATTATATGCATCAGTATGCGTCCATGTCTCCCGCAAGTCATTCTCAGACCTGAGAAGTTTAACCCATTCGCTCCTGGAGATTTTGCCGAAAAACGCGTTTTGAAGCTAGTCGAGTGGTTTTCTGGTCACTGTCGTGCTATAAAGAGCTAAAACTTACCACAAACCGGTTTACAGGTCGTACACTTCACGGCCTTCTGATCCAGATGCAAAATATCAGCTTGCGAAGTTCGGGCATGCGCAGAAAGCAAAATTTTTTTGGGTGGGGGGTTTAAAAGTGACACAGTAGTCTTGACTTTTACTTTTCGCTTTCTCTCCTCCCTTCTTTTTTCGCTTTTCTTGCCTAATTTTTTTTTTCTCTTGCTGGGCATTTATTAGGCTTCATTTTGGTGGGAAGAGGTTTTAGGAAAGCTTTTATGATCTTAGGATTAGGTGAAAGGAAAGGTAGGTGGGCAATGGAACAAGATTTTCATGGAGATTTTCAGGTCAATGTCACGTGGTTTTTTTGCTTCTTTCTCCGGTGTCCTTGACTGAATTGTGCTCATTCTGGTATGGTTTGAAAGATCTCTTCACTCTGCACAAGTTAGCGAAGAAAGTTGTCCTTGACCGTTAAAACTGATGACGTCACAAAGGGTAGAAAGGACCTGGATCCGCACGGGCGGTTACGGGCGGTTCAGGGGCGAATGGGTTAAAGTTTTCTAAAAAACACAAGTGTTTTTCATTTTACCAAGAACACTGTGCAATAGAGGTTGTGCTATACAAGGCTAAATTAACTTTCATTTAAAATTTGTTATACTAATATAATCTTAACGTTGTTCTAGGTTTGCCTTGTGAACACGTTACTGCGCCTGTTTATGGTAAGATGACTTGCACCGGCCTGGTTACAAATTCCACATGTTCTTTTTCCTGCAGTCCCGGATATAGTCTTTCTGGCTCTCAGACCCGAATTTGCCTAGCTTCATCAAGGTGGAGTGGAAGCAGGACATCTTGTGAAGGTACCACGTTTCCCCAAAGCTTTATAAGTATGGACGTGCTATTTTTTGTGGTGCCCCAACTTTTACCTCTACTGTTTTGCTCTGTTTAAGGTTTTACTTTGCCGGTCCGTTTTTTGTTTCAGTTTATTAAAATTTCAATTGCAACTTCAGTTAAACTATTATTCGTTTCTAGACCACTACCAATCCGTTTTTGAATCTCCTGTATGTGCATGTGAGAGCGGAGAGGTTCGAAAAATGGGGAGTTTAAAATACGGTGTACCACTAAGAAAGAGGGGCCAGTTTTGGTCCGAATATGGGGAGTTCCTCGAAACTGAGAAAAAAAAAATAAAAGCTCCAAAGTTGTCTGGATCCTCGGAAATGCTACACAGCTCACACTTTATGCTGCTTTCACTAAGGCCTCATTTATAAAAAGTTGTACCGGAAGACAGGGTCACTTTCCCAGTCGATCGAGTGAACTTTAGCGAGCATTTCATGAAAAAAAAATTTGACTCCTTTGCCCAAGCCAACAGCGTTCGTGCTCGCTCTGGTTGTCTCGCCTTGACTTCTGATTTTGTAACCATCAAAACGGGCTTTTAAACAGTATTGGCTTTTTAAGCATCTTTTTTTCTTACTACCCTTCACCTGTGCCCTTGTCGTGTTTTAGTCATTTTAATTTTGTTAACCGTTACTTTTTTCAGCTAAACACTGCCCAATACTGAAGCCGAATGGGACAGGGCATTTTCTCTCGTTACCATGCTTCACCTCATTTGGCTCAAAGTGCTACTTTGGGTGTGCCTCAGGTTACATCATGGAAGGAAAGGGACAAGCAAGCTGCAGCTATGAGTCTAAATCTGGCAAAGTCACCTGGAAAATAGATCCATATACCTGCAAAGGTAGAACCCCAGCTTTGTGGCGTTTAATTTCCTCGGAATCAGTGGCAAAAGCCTTTCAAACTATTTAATTTGGAACAAAAAAATTGTCTCTTTGAAACTCTCTGTCTGCTCCATACTGTTAGATTGCTTATGCGTTTGATTTACTAACCTTTTTTTATTTTTATTAAACAGAACTTAAAAGCTGCACACCAAACCCTTGTAAACACGGTGGAAAATGCATCGTCCAAGACCAAAGCTTTTCATGTGACTGTCAAGGAACTGGTTACACAGGAAGCGAGTGTCAAAAAGGCGTGGTCACAACACCAGTTTTTCCAAAGTTATTTGCAGGCTCCAAGTCCAAAACCCTTTACCTATCTGCTCGGCCCTCCAATAAGCTGAAAATTATCCTCATGGCCGAAAATGGGGTCGTTTTTTATCCGTCGTCCTCCCTCGACATTATATTTCCAGAAAGCAAGCAAAAATTCTTTGTTGAAGCAGAAAAAGCAGGCATCAGAAGAATTTCTTATGGTTTGGAAGGTCCCAATAAAGCTGAGTTTGAGGCCCCTGGGCAACGCTTTTTCTTGGTCACACCTCGCGTGATGATCAATGACAGCATCTATTCAAAGTTGTTTCTCCCTAAAGGAGAACTCCCACTTGGATGTAATGATCACACCTCCAGAACCCTATCATGCAAAGTACGGTTCATTTCAACAAGTGGATGGACTGGCAGTTCACCTTCCACCGAGGGAATTGTACATGTAATGACTTCTTCTAATCAGTTTATACCACTGTCGTTGGTTGGTTTAAATTTTGATGGCCTTACAATTTCTAAAACATCGTTAATTCAAACAGCAGCTGCTCGCACTTCATCCAGTGGTGTCCTCAGTGATTTCATTATAAACAATGGTACGTGCTTTCAACAAGAATTGAGTTCTGATAATCTCCTGGAAGTAATGAACGATGATGCCCTCGTGTCTTCCTTCATGCGCACGTTTTCCCAGATGACTCCTAAATGGTTGCATCTTGCCACCAACGAGGAAAACAAAGCGTTTGACATCCACAACATCAAAGTAAATCTGGCGATCGAAACATCACTTAAAGAGAAACACTGCGCAGACTTTCCGCTCAATCCATTATCAACCATTGCTTACTTTCGACCAACAGCAGAATACGAGGTTCGTGTTTCCGACGATGCAGTGTCCCTGTTTGCGGAAGGAAACACTTGCTTTGCAGCAGACATTTGCAAGCAATCTGTCTTTATACACTTTTCCAAGCACTCAGCCAATGAGTTAATTAAGCTTGCGGCATTTCAAGAAATGAAAGATAAAGGCGTCGAAATCCGAGTTGACTCAGTTGGTGTTTTGGAGAGTCCAGACATTTATGATGTTGAAAATAGTGAGATTTGGAATGGGACACACCTGGATAAGGCATCGCCCTTCAGTTACAACATGTGGTTAAAGGGAGACGTGGCTTGGAAGATGCAGATACCAGCAAATCTAGATGTAACGCTTCACATAGCGGGAGAGGGTTATCTTCATTACGACAAAATTGACGACGTAAGTGCATAATAAAATTAGAAATAAGTTTCTCGCAAAACCTTATTCTCATGGATAAGAGGACCACTAGGTAGGGCTACAAACTGGATGGGCCCAGAGGAACAAGCCGGGAATGTCCTATCTTGTAGACTCCTTATGATTATGATTACTATTACTTTTTTTTTGTTTCGCATGCGCATAGCTAATTCGCGTGTAGCTTCGTGCAATCAAGTGTTTGATGCAAAACGTTCGAGATCGACAAACCTTTTATGTACTTTCTTTTCGGCGAAAATGAACAATGTGAGTTTTAACTCACATGTGTAAACTCAGGCGTAAATCACACGCCATGTTGAAACATTTCACTCACGTGTCATTCTGACACAGTCTGCGAAAGGAAAAAAACTGCACAACATATTGCAAAGGTGTTGTGCAGAAAAACATGTCTGAATAAAACTTCAGGGAAACATGTAAAAGCACTTTTTATTCAAGATAGCCTATGTTATAGGATCTCCCTGGGGAAAGAGTGAAATAATCACCCTTTCCCTTCCCTCTTCTCGCGATTTTTTCACCCTTTTCTCAAACCGACAGCCTGTTCATAGTGACTGAAAGTTTTCCGATAACGTTTTTTTTTTTTTTGAAGCAAGGCTTTTCCTAATTATCCTCAACATTTACCGGCAATCACTAGAACTGTGTATTTTCTAAGAATTTCCTCTTTCCATTTTCAACCAGAAAATCAATTTAAGCTTCAAACGCGAGTCCATTGACATCTTCTCTCATGACTTGAAATAATTAAATTTTCGTTTTACGCAAAAACAAAACTAGAACGAGCCAAAAATCTTTGATGCAGCTTCTGTAAGCGAGTAGGTGAGGTGGCAACCTGCATGCTCAACTTTCACTTTCGTTGAATTCCATGGTAAAGCTTTCCCCAATCCAAAAACGAAATAAACAAACCAGCTTCGAAAATAGAACAATCTTGATAACAGCTGTATTTCATTTTGTGGCGGCAGTGGAAGAACACGAATAGTTTAAATTTGAAAATTATGTTAAAAGATTTTTCCTGTAGTCAGCGGTAAGAGCCTGCATCCATCGATGAATCCCTTTGCGACACTTTCCTAGACGAAAAACCAAATATACAACTCAGTTTTGAAAAACAGAAAAAGAAACTTGACAGTAGTTGTATTTCATTTTGTGGCGGCATTACAAGAATACGATAATTTTAAAACATAACTGAAATGAAAAAAGGCTCCAGTTGTCGGCAAACAAATTTCTAGATGCTGTGTTTCCACGTATGAATTGATAAATTCAACTGTCTCAGCGTTTTGATGGGGCTCCTCGTTGTTCCTAAAGTGTGACCAAAAGTGTGACCAACCAAAAAGCAAAGCTTTAGAAATATATGTTACCTCTACCTCCCAAAGAATGTACGGCCGGCCCGCGGGCGTACGCTGGCGTCATAACAAAATTTTCGGGCATCGAGATGTTTCCAATCTTCTTTTACAACTGTAAGTATCGGGCTAGCGCGCACGGACGCTCAGCTATATAGAACATATGGCCGGCAGATCGACACCCTCAACCGACAGCAGATGTAAACTCGTCTGCAAGGAAACACGAAATCCAAATGTTTTCTTGGCTCTTTACGTTTGAGCGGGTTGATCCAAATCACTTTCATGATTTTCCCTGCCTAATACTTCTACCGTCAAAATTCATCACCAAACATATTTCCTGAGCGCGCTAACCGATAGCCGCACTGACCACGTTTGAGGGGGTTTTGTTGCTAGCTAACTGAAGTGAACACCAGGGTGGTTCGTTTTACATATAAGGTCAATATTCGAACATATTTAGTCCAATTTAACTGTTATTCTTGTAATTGCTCTTGCAACAGTTATTTATTGATCGTCTAACTCGACCACTGGACATGCTACTTAAAGGAAAAGCCTCCGTAGTTATTGAAGGAAGAACTCTGGGTCAGGACTTCAAATTAGAACTAACTTCTGTGGGCATGATAGGAAAAGCCAAATGTGGAGGTAAAGTTTACTGTCATTTCTAGTCAGAAATTTCTAGGCTGACTGTCGCTGTCTTGAGGCCGCGAGGATTTTCCTATATAGTGGAAACAACATGGATGCCCTCATTAGACGCAATTTGCCCACCTAACCTTAGGGAAAGAAATTTTGTCTCGTTTTAAAAAAATCTCAAACATTTATTAAAAATTAAGAATTAACGTTTATTAAAAGAATATGTACATTAATCCTTAACAATTTTTGCAGTTAAGTCAAAATGTGGACAGGACCAATTAGATCGGTAACCAAGTCCTTCCACCGAAAGGTTATTTTCTTTCCTTACCTTTGTTTACTTATATACATGTACATATATATCTCTAGCTTCAACACCCAAATTTTAATTTCAGGTGAGAATAGCCACGGAGACGGGATACAGGGAGTGTTCCTGAGCCTTAAAAATGCGAAGAATGGTGCTTTTCTCAAAACACCTTTTTATCCTTATGTGCGCCCTGCAGAAAATCAACAGATCTTTGTTACAACCCTTGTTAAATACAACGGAGGCAGACGCAATAGAGTCACTAATAAAGCAGAAATACGGCGTACCCTGACAAACTTACGATTCCTTTTACCTGAGCTGGAAGAAATTTTCCGGGAGTCAATTCCAAAACTTCCAGAGAATAGAGCCATCCTAGAAAAATGGATTGAGACGGCTGCTGCGGTGAGTGGAAAGGTTCGCAAATTGCGAAGAGCCCTGTTCTTTAATAGAGCGATTGACATTAAGAATGCCAGAAAAATAGTGGCTGACATCAACAAAAAGATCCATATTGTGCGAAAAAGCGTAGGAATGTTAAAGCATCGCGTCTCCTTAAAAGCTGCAACTTCACCTTTAATTACTATGATTGAAGACTTTCAATTGGATTTCCCCGATTATGTGTACTTGAAGTTCGGAGGGGAGAGCACTAAGCAACGACTGTTAGGTGTGAAAATACACCTTCGCTGTAATCTGTGTATAAAAAAGTTATGTCTGGAAAACATAGTCGCAGTAATCTCACACCTTGATGGACATGGAAAGGTCTCTCAGCCATTTTCCAGAACAAAGTTTTATGTAAGCGGCAGGGCGCCAAAGGTCCTGTCTCTGAGCCCAGGTAAAATCCTTAGTCTTCCAAAAGGACAATCTATCAATATGATTTTTAACCGTGACTCCGAGGACGTATCTATTGAATTTGGAGCATTGATACGACTTTTTGGCTTGAGTCAGTTTGCAAATGCAACGCTCGACAAGGCGCAGCTATCGGTTAATGTTAAGGGAAAATTTTTTGCTAAATTTCCATCAGAGCTAGATGTTGTTGCAAAGATCAGAGAGAGTGAAAATTGGAACTCCCTACTATTTTTGGTGAAAGGAAAGATGTTGAAATCGTCCCTTCTTCCCAATAAGCTTCAAAATGCAATCAACAACTATACACTTGCTCTAGCCCAAAACGCTCAGAGGAGGATTCAAAGAGCTGAGGCTGCAACTAACAATGCCAAGAGACAAACCAAAGAGGCAGAAACAATTTTGAAAAAGAAAAAGATTGCCTCCAATAATGCCTCTAAAATTTTGGACGATAAAGTGAACAATCTTGTTCAAAAGCGAATTGTGTATGCTCAGCGTAAGATTCGATTTAACTCGACACTTTTGAGTTACCTACACTTAAAGAACCAGACTTTATGCGATATGAAAGCCTGCAAGAATGACGATATCAAGACATGTATACCTGACGTTGTCAAAAGAAAGTCAAGACTAAGGTAAAGGTACGCCACTGTAGGGAATTCACTGACGAAATCACAGTGGCGCGCATAAAAAAAGTTAAAAAACGTGAATGCTTTACTTATAATACACCCACAAAGTATACAAAAACAGGCGGAGGATGGTGGAGTGATGAAGGACTGGAACAAAAAGGAAACGTAACGGAAAGAGAATGCGTTGACTTTTTTACACTTAAAAAGGTAACTGAAAAGCAGAAGGTAAAGAAGTTTAAATGCACAGAAAAGGAAGTAGAAATTTCTGATCTCGATTTTCCATATGAGTGCTGCTCAGACGAAACAATTCAGGTTTTAAATTCAGCTTGTGTTAAGCACAACTCCGACTGTTGGAGGAACATAACTGATATTGCGCAGCAGCTTAAGCTACTACGCAATAATGAAAGTGCACTCTTTGCAGACTTTCAGCTTATGATAGAGATGGGAAGGCAAGTGAATGTTGCTCAAATGGAAGTAAATTTAGCTCGTACACGTGATCGCTTAGCATCAAATCAAGTCGAGCTTGCCCGTGCATTGCTTCAACAACACCGTTATGCCGAGCAATCCATGAGTATTAACAAAATTAAAGAACAAGAACAACTGGGGATCAGACTAGCAAACAAACTGAAACGTCTAGACGTTAACGAAATGGTAACAGTCGAAAGTCTTTCGTTCTCAACATCGATGACTTCATCCACAAAAAGTTTGTTGCCGTTCGTAGCATCTGTTAAAGACGTTGATGGGAATGACAAATTTGTCGAGTTTCCCATAGAATTTAAAAAAATTGACTACTCCTTAGCTTCAGCTTCGAAGCTTGTCATACAAATGCTCTTTGGAAAACTTAATTCTAGACAAAAACGATCAACACATGACGAGTTTCTGGGAGATAAACTAGGCATGGACAATGGCCAAAGTATGTGCTTTTTTTCCCACCAGGCAAATGCTCTCTTTACAGATATCATAAACTCTCTAGAATTTCTAGTCGAAAGAACAGATGCATACTTTCAAGCTATTTCATCAGGAATTGAGGAAGTTGATTCATTGGTCATGCATTCGGCAAAAAAATCATTTTCGCCCACTCTGGAGCCTCAAAAATCCTTCAGCGAAATGATGCAGTCCCTTAAAGATAATTACATCGATATTACAAGTACGACAACATGGGAAACCATTCTTGAAAACTGGCGCGTCCATCTCAATGTCTTGACTGGAGGCAGGAATTTTACAAAGTGTTCAGGAACTGAGGATTGTTTGGAGTATTTCTTTCGTAATTTGGATGAATTCTATCTGTTCGAATATAGTCATCGGGCACTCGAGATTAAGCAAAACTTACATGAGATGAAAATGGTTTTCAATAGCTTGTTACAAAGACATTCTTCATTTACTAAAGTAAAAGAAATTGTACCTATAGCCAAGGCCTTACTAAACAAAACTAAAGACGACTCAGTATTATGCGGAACCAGCCCGGTCATTGTTAAAAGCTCACCCGCAGAAGTTGTGGTCCTTATTGGTGGTACAGTAAACCTTACATGCTTAGTTGCAAACTCAAGCGAAGTGGAAATCGTTTGGATTAAAAACGAAAGGGTTATAGAGGATATGAACGATGAAGTGCTTGTTCTTAGAAATGCGACAACACAAACCGAAGGAGCTTACAAATGCGCTGTCTCAAACAACAGGGGTGTAACAGCATCCAATGTTAGTTTTGTGATGGTGCATAAAGCGCCTAGTATCACCAATCATCCACGTGACGTTCGCGTTCTAGTTGGAACTGAAACATTGTTAATGACATGTAGTAGTGACGGAGTTCCAAGGCCAACCACAGAGTGGTTTTTTAAGCCACGCAGTGGAAAAGTTGTGCGATTGAATTCCTCCAATCGCATGTTAATCAAGAAAAACCTAACATCTCAGGACTCGGGATTTTATTACTGTAATGTTTCAAACATACACGGAACAATTACAAGCAGAATGGCGAGGCTCGATGTCCTGGAATTCACTGCAGGCAGACCTCGAATCGTTGTAAATCTGAAATTTGCCCGTTGTGCAATTGCAGACTTTCCAGACAACGATTCAAACTGTACCGATCACCATTACACATCTGCCCTGCAGTTGGATTATGCTGGTGTACACAACTTCTTCACAGAGATCACTGCTAAGATGAGATGGGCATGGAACCAAATAGAGAGACTCGATTTCAGTTTACACACAAATGTTTCGTTGTCCTTTGTTATCACATCCAATGGAAGCGATACATCAAAGCGTACCAGCTCAGACTTATTCGATACTTTGAATAGCATTTCCCTTTCACGTTACAAACTTGCCAGGGATTTGCGGTCTTTTCGGGCTGCTCTTTTGGAGAGGAAATTTATCTTTCTCAAGAAGAACGCGCTGATCGTCCCCAGAATGGGAGGTTTCGCTGCTAGACTTATCACCCAGAAGTGTCCTGAAGGAAAACAAGCCGATGAAAATGGATTATCTCTTTGCGGTGGGTATTTTTTACCTTTCAGAATTTATAAAGTACCTTTTAAGTTGGGTGTAAAAAGACATGTAGTCAAGAGTAGCTCGGAAAAAGATGTAACTCACCTATAAAAACATGTTTACTCTTGTTTCCGTTATTTATGTGTTTATTTATTCGTTTATTATATTAACAACTTACTTTTTGCCATAATGTAAATTTTTTATTACATCGCCACATAGACTGTTCACAGCCCCCTATTTTTCCGTACGATCGTACAGTGTAGAGATGAAACGCTTTGTGTTAAGGGCGGCCATCTTAAATGAGTGTCAAATCTACTTAGGGGACAGGGGATGGTTTTGTAGGAAGGAAGGAACACAGAAAAAAATTCTCTCGCCTGCCTCCCCCCACGCCTTTAAACCACGATACCCGCCCCCTCGGTACCATGATCACTTCCCGTACCGGTAAGAGCTCGATCCTGACGAACTTGCGAAAAAACAGGGGACTATGAACGGTCTAATAGCCAGATCATTAGCGCTTTGTACCCCTATTAAAGCCGACTTTTTCGGTTTTTTAAAAGTACAATGTTTTGTTCCTGTTTTTCACAGTTAACTGTGCCCCTGGCTACTATGGAATGTCAAATGGTTCTTGCGTCCCTTGTCCTGTCGGCACATTCCAGACTAACGAAGGAAGAAGCGAGTGTATCAAATGCCCATATATTCGTTCTCAAACCGAACCTGGAGCTTTTCTAGAATCACAGTGTATCGATATTTGTGAGTGAAAATATAGATGGAAAGAAAATAATTAGTATTTCTTATTAACTACTACCTTTTTTATAAATCACTGGCATAAGAGATAAAACTCCTTGAAGGAAGTAAAGCTTAAATGGTGCTTTTTCTATATCCTTCTCCTTTCTATTCTTCCTGTGAAGTGAAGTCCCTTTGTCGATTTGTACATATAAGTAAAGTCAGCAATTCAGAATGCGGGAATTGCGTTAGTAAACTGGTAGAGTTTTGCCATTCGTCGACAGACAAGTGAAATGATGCCTGTGAGAAAAAAAAAGTGCCTGTGTAATCACAGGTATCGGACCCAGGGTTACCGGATCCGGATAATTTTACATTTACAAAATATTTCGTGTTATATACTTTATTCTTTTTCGTCAAAAGCAACTGGATTTTTAACAAGCATTTCAACGGTTTATCGGTTTATGTTATTCCTCATCTTAAAAATTCGATCGAATCCATTTTACAACACGACAGTCTTTTTCTATCCTGATTGAGTTATGCTGGACCTAGAATAAAGACGTAGTTATATGCACTTTATTTTAAACGGGCTGCGAACGTTGTTTGTTCTGTGGGAAGAGACTAACTGTTTTTTTTTCCGTTTTCTTTCTTGTTTTTAGCTATTCCTTGCAATCTATCCAACGTCACCATTAAACACGCCCAAGTGCCACAAGAAGTAAAGAAGCGCTATCGCACTGGTGAGACGTTTGTGTTGGGTTGTCAGAGTGGTTACAAACCGGTAGGAAATGGGTCACAAGAATGTAACGAAGGGAACTGGACAACACAGAAGTTTTACTGTGAAAGTGAGTATATTTTCCTTTGAGTTTCCCCCTCTCCCCACTTATTTGTGTTTTGCTCAATTTGAGGAGCTAAAATCCTGGCCTCACCAACACAAGGACTGTTAAGATAACTCAGAAAAGTGACCCTCGGTAACATCTAACATTCTAGTCTTCTCTGACAATAACAAAGGCCCCATGCCACAAAATTTCATTGATCTGACTCTTGTGAGATGTACTAGTAACATGTAAGCAGCGCTAGGGACTTAATCTCTAGCAGTGACCACACCTAGGGCGCTTTCTATTTGTCAGAACTGACCGGCCAGCCCATTCCCATCGTAATGAGAATTTCACTTTTAATCAAAACTAACCATCCCGATCAGTCAAATCCTAAATATTATGCACAAAGCAGATGGTTTTTCAGCAAAACCTCTTGGAAAAAGCCTATTTCGTTGCAAAAATATCTGGTCCGGCCATAGTCCGGCCGGCCAGTTCTGACTTTTGAAAAGCGCCCCAAGTGTCTGTATGTCTGTTATGGGTTGGGTTGTGGGATTGTGTAGGAAGGCCAATGAGTGTGGAACTCACTACCGAAATCACTAAACTTTTTTTCACCTAAAATAACGATCTTTTTCATTTGAATTTTCAATAGCTTTTATTTGGAAAGTATTTACGTTCAAATGTTTCCTCACGTCGGCTATTGATAGCGCAGGAGAGCTAGATAACCCTTTCGTCTCCGAGTAAAGTCTACAGAGTAAACATGGTTTGTTAATTCCTATATTGCAGCGAAACGGTGCAGTTATTGACGCAACCTTACTCTATTTCAATTTAGAAACGTGTTTCCCACCCTGGACTGAGTTGAAAAAGCGTTGTTATTTGGTGATAGATGTGCGTTCGTACAGATGGAAGGACGCTTTTGCTGCGTGCTCGTCTCTGAACGGTTCGCAGATGATAACGATATCCTCGGAAGAAGAAAACATTTTTACCGCTTATCTTGCCAAGGTAAGTACAAAACAAATTAAGCTCCATTCACGCAATGAAAAACCAACCCGTGTCACAAAAATCAATGAATCTAAGCATCAATCAATCAATCAATCAATTTATTAACGTCAATACGTGGGATGGGGTTACCCCGATCATCCGAGCCAGAGGCTCATGTATAAAACGCATGACAGTTCCTTAAAGCCATTTTCGTCTTATCAGTGTCTAAACTGATTAAAACAAATTCAAGTGTATTATTACGAAAGTGTTTGTAACTAAAGTTCACGGCTCTCTTTCAACTTGAGAGGGATTCTAAGAAGTCTCTTTAGTCTGGATGAAAGACAAGGTAATAGGAGTGGCTTCAAGAGAGTCAATGACTTGTTCTGGGTCTATTGCTTCTCAACAGTAGGTAGCTGACTTTCCTGAAACACTAGGCGGCATATCCCCTGGCTTGTTTGTGAGGAATAGGTTGACATGAGATCGGTTTTATCGCACTGTGCCAATCAGAATCTATAATCATGGACAAAAGTCTTGGGACACTTTTGCGTTTCTGGGGCGTTTGGCAATTCACACAGGTCCAACCCCTCCCCTCACCCCAGAAATAATGTTGGACGCGTGTATCCAGAATGTTTTCCGAGTTTCAATTTAGCATAGGGTGGGGGGAGGGAGAACTGCAAGAAAATTTCAAAAATGATGCACTGTTTTGAGAGGGAACCGAGAAATGCCAGAAAAATATGCATATTGCATTACTGTACCAAGGACTTTTGTCCAGGATTGTCTGAATCCTGGTTTTGGGTAAAAAAAAAAGTCTGTTTTCTTCATTTTTCCTACGCTTTTTAGGTATTTTGGAGACAAGTAGGTTATCACATGCAATAATAATGACCTTTGAAACTATTTTCTCAACATGGCAAGTTTTTACAAGGCAATTTCCTGATTAGCCATATCGGGCCCCTTAACTGGAGCAGAGTACAGCGGAAGTTGGCCATGGTCAGGCACGATGTTTTGAGCATCGCGCACAGTACTCGGTAGCAAAAACACAGTGTATTATCAATATTCGCTACAAATTCATTAAGGAAATACGGCTAAGGTATATTTCAACCAAAAATTGCATTTGAAATAATATGGGTCAAAAAGGCTATCCCGTAAAGTGAATACAAGAGTAAACTCAATTAATTCAGGAAGGAAAAATTATCTTGTTCTTCTTTCTCTCCATTTCAAAGTGAGTACTAAGAGTAAAGAGCTAAAATTGCGTTTTCGCTGTAAATAAAAGCATCAAAGGATGTATTTACAGATAAAGTTTCTCTCACCATCCCGCAACGTAATTTTTGTTAGCAAATAAACACATGGAAATATTAGCAACACTTTCAAACAAAAAATGATCCGACACAATTCTCTAGAAGTCAGCGAAAAACTTTTTTGCCCCAACCTGGGCGTATTATGAAACAACCGCTTTTTTTTTACATCACAGTTGCATTCATAGCTCCTGTCGTATTTTTTTGTTGTACAAATAACAGGGACGGCTATTCACATCACTTAATTTTTTTTTTTCACGGCCGTTCTATCTTTTGGAAGACGTTGTTTTTTTCTCTACCAAGCCTACTGGATTTTTTGACATTCGTACTCATATTGAGTACTGGCGACTGTGATGTTGACATCTCTGAGCAAATTATTACCAGGTAAATGACCTCGTGCTTTCGCGTCGTATATCCACGACTCTAGCTCTTTGGCCTGCCGAAATTCTTACTGTGTACATCATAATGTTAGTAACTCGTTGCTTCCCTTAACCGTTTTCGGACATGAGTCTTGTTTAAAGTTATGTTATCCTTAGGAATAAAGCACGCGCTGTGAGATTCCACAATTTCTGGTGTATATATCGTTTCTAGCGAATTCTTAAAACACGTTCAGAAAACTCCGAAAAGCTGGGAAAAGCTTTGTTCGATTACGATCTTTCATCAGAATCCCGAAAAACACTCTTACAGGCTTGACAAACTCTCAAAACTGCCTCTTTTTCTTCCCCCCTTTTTTCCAGACAATCATGGGCAAAAGTCTTGGGACACTTTTGCGTTTCTGGGGCGTTTGCCAATTCACACCGGTCTAACCCCTCCCCTCACCCCAGAAATAATGTTGGACGCGTGTATCCAGAATTTTTTCCGAGTTTCAACTTTGTATAGGGTGGGGGGGAGAGAGAACTGCAAGAAAATTTCGAAAATGATGCACTCGTGTTTTAAGAGGGAACCGAGAAATGACAGAAAAGTATGCATATTGCAGTACGGTCTCAAGGAATTTTGTCCAGAATTGTCCTGGCTTGTTTGTAGGGACTAGGTTGACATGAGATCGGTTTTACCTCACTGTGCCAATCAGGATCTAGATGCATCTGATTTTTCCAGTTATTGTATCATTGGTTCCCATATCTTTGATATTTGGCGCAGAAGTATCAGGTTGAAATGCTTTCAAGGGAACAGCATTTTGTCGTTGATTGATGCCCACCGTTCTTCTTTTCCTTCCTTTCTGCATCCCTTTCGCTTAGCTCTTCCATATCTGGCCAACTTGGATTAAGAACAGTGAGAAAGGCCGAGATGGTATTTCTCACTTTCCTTTCCGTTATATTAGTGGCTCTGATGGTGAATATCCACAACCCAAAGAGTAGATCTGTTAGCCAACAGTCCCTTTGATGGATATTTTTCTTTCTTTAGCAGTAACTAAGTGGAAACTGCAGCGCCCTGTACTTCACCTTTCAACTATGTCAACAACTACTTGTCGTCTGCCTGAGACCCCAGTCTTTTGCGAAACGAGTGAATTCGGCTGATGCATACTGTGGGCGATTGTCACTTCTTCCTTCTTCAGGGATTCTTTACCTTGTAAAGGTTGCTTTCAGGCCTCTTATGACTTTATGAGATTTGGTGTTTCTTCGCATGGCAGCTTCTTCCATGTGGCGTTATAAATAGTCCACTATACTGTCAGATAACTCAGGTTATCGAGCTCAAAGAGGCCCCAGCGAATCGTCTGTCAAGGACGATCAGAAAAAGGTATTGGCTTGAGCTCAGACTCGGCTCGCTGCTGTTGGTAATTCGCACATAAATTGCAATTTTCTACCATGACATGGAGTTCACCGCTGAGACTAAGCCATCAAACACAAGTCTTCGCACGTTTCCTTCACTTGACTATTCCCTGCTGCCCGTCTTGTATCCTATGCAAACCCCTCGGCTTCATGGCTGCGAAACGCGAGGCCCTATCAGGGGTTATCGGGATACGGGATATTTGGGTAAAAAATTATAGGGATAAGGGATATTTGGGCGGAAAATTAAAGGGATATGGGATATTTAAAAAAAGATTCTGGGATATCGAAGATCGAAGTTCTCATTTTTTAAAAGAATGAAATGAGTTTATTGGTCAATAGAAGGCGCAGATTAAATAGCGAAAAAAATACTTTCAAATGCGATTTTTTTTACATTTTGCCATCAAATATTGTCAATATATTGACAATAGCTGCCAATATCGGCTGTTGTCCGAGAACAACTCTCCCCCTCCCTCACGGCTTTTTCCATTTCGCGACCTCACGCTGGGCTCGTGCGATAGTTTTTTATCATTTGTGGTCATTTTGATCATGCCTGCCTTGAAAGGTCTGCACGAAGTCACTGCGTGTATTTACAAAGGAGAGGAAACACCCGTAATGAAATGGTCATTCCTGACCAAAGTTGAAAATAAGGACCTCAGGTCATTTCTTCAGGCCTTAAGTGCCTTCGGACTAGATTAACGGGCGAAAGAAGCATGGATGCCCACGATCCGCAATACAAACAACAACGGGAGAGCCGTGCGACAACGGAACGCCGAGGAACCAAATCAACGAAACAGCGAGGATTGAAATGCACCTATCACAACTGGTGAAAACCTTCCTATAACAGCAGAGCATAATGCTTTATAAGGTGACTCATTGCTTTGAAGTCACCTCAGCCTTTAGCAATTCTTTACAGAATGTTACATAAGAGCATACCATCGATAAACAAGATGTTTTATTTTCACTTTATTTCTATTTGAAATACGAAACGCCCCAGGAAAATGTGTTTTTCGTTATCAGGTACCCAAGCATATCCCACCAATGACGTCATCATGGTAACTGGCATTATAGGGATACGAACCACAAGAATGAACGGAATACGGGACACGGGATATTTTGGCCAAAAATTAATGGGATACGGGATACTTAGACCCCCCCCCCCCCCCCCCCCTGCTCGGTAGAGCTCTTGATAAATAAAAAGTTCATAAGTGCACTTTAAGGTGAAATTTGGGTGGCCAGCCTTCCAGACAGTAATTCGATCTGGCACTTTCTCTAATCTGTAATCATGTCCCTGGGGGGACTCCCGAGTGAAAGGGACGGGGGTGCTAGTCGGAAATTTTGAATTAAACCCCTAAAGGAGACCAATCTGGGCTTGGCCCAACCTGTTATTGACCCCTGAAAGAGACCATTTTAAACTTTGATTACATGAATCGAGTAAATAAAACGAATTGAAAAAAAAAATATATTTCTTTGAGTGCAACCCTAAAAGAACAGTTTTGCGTTTTGCTCAGAACACCCTAAGTGAGACCAAAATCCGTCTTTTACAACCCAAAGAGAGACGACGAGCATCTCCTGGCCTTCCCTTTCATATGGGAGTCCCCCCCCCCCGGAATCATGTTGCTCTATGGTTGGGGCATGACATCATCAATGTTTCCGATTCAACTCCTTCAAATCCCTTGAGGATTTCACTCATGCACTTCCTAAAGCTTCCCTGCACCTGAGCTAATTCCATAGGACAGCACGTTAAAGTAGTACCGACCCGTAGGTGTGATGTCAGTGCTGTGAGTAGTTTTGAGCTTTCAGACAGTTTTACTGCCAAAATTCAGAGTTTGAACCATCAAGCTCTGTGAAGTGCTTTGCACCCGGTGAGCTTTACCCATAATGTCATACTTTGAAAGGTCACTACCCAAGGGGCGCACCAATAATTTAGGTAGTCCCCTAGCGATATCATTCCGCTCTTTAACATCCTTTTAGTTTCATCCTCGGTTTCTTAAAACGGTAGAATAGGGAGCCAGTGCAAATGGTTTGGCGTCATCGCTTAGCTTGATGGTGTGCTCGTCCTATCTCGTTTCAAGTCCTTTAAACACTTTTGTTTTTGTTGTTGTTGTTGTTTTTTTTATCATCCTTCGTTACTTCATAACAACCTTGATATAACGTTTAACTTGGACGCAACGCTGCAGTAACTTTCTACGACACAAACAGTACAGTTTTCGTTACAGACCAAGGTTGTAAGTAAGGGTAATAAGCACTTTTCAGTAGGATGCGTGTGAACATCAAGGTAAAAGATATGTTACGTCTGCAGTGAATGTCGCGGCTGAAGACTTCTAGGATCTTGTCCGCAATAATTTTTTCGATCCACAGTGACTTAATTATAGGGTTGCTTTTCTATTGCCCATCTTTTCAAGTGATGAAAAAACGCTACAAACAATTGCCCTTTTTTCTTGTTTTTTGACTGGAAAATCCCTGCTAAATTTAGGTTGAATAAATCTCCTGATACATCGTGAAATCATTTTTTGTATAACAACAAATCAGAACTTCTTTGAACATTTTCGTTTATTTACACAACAAAAGTTACAGTTACAATAGTTGCATTAAAAGAGAGTACAAACATGAAGATCCTGGGAAACCGGAACACGATTTTTTTATAGCGCTACTCGGATGTCTCTTTCCACTTTTGCACGAAGGCCACATGGTCAAAAATAAACAACTTCAAGGAGGAAAAATCAAACCCATAGTAGGGTTTAGATTCCTACCCCTTTCGCTGAGCAAAGGTAACGAATGCTCTGGGGGGCGAGATTTTGTTCAATTCTCTAGCATGCTAACAGTGCGCACGACTACCTGTAAGACACTTGAATAAGGGGTTAAAGTTCCATATCATAACAAATGTAATAATTAACTTATAGGCTCATCTCAAAAAGAAAAACATTACTCAGGTACAGCTGTGGCTTGGACTAAGAAAAGAAAACGCCCGGAGTCCTTTTCAGTGGGTGGATGGTCGATGCTTAAATGGAAGCTACACCAACTGGTCACCAGGGGAACCGAACAACGCTCAAGGCCGCGAGTTGTGCACTGAGATGCTGGTATCAGGAAATTTTGGGTTACATAAGTGGAATGACGTAAGATGTGACACCTCTGGGTATAAGTCGATTACCATTTGCGAGAAACCCTTGCGAGTTGGTGAATGAATACCACGGAGCTTTACTGCTTGTCCGAACACTCTTCAGAGTATACTAAAAATGTCAATACGGGGCAACAAAGCAAGGTCAGATAATGTTAAGGCGGGCATTCTTATCTGTTTTTCTATTATTTTGATTCTAATTAAAACTAAGTTCACAGTAATTTCGATATCTGTAGTATTGGGATTTTGTTTTTGCTCCTGTCATTGTTTCCTTGTAGTGTTTTTTTCTTCTCATGATCATCATGTGTAATCGGATTGAGGAAGAGTCAAAGAAAGCGCCTGAGCAGAGTGGTGTCCTCAATCAGACAATGCCCCGAGCTTGGTGTGCTAAAGGAATGTTAGAAATCTTACTTGTTGTTTTTATTATTATTTTATTATTATCATTATTTCTTTTTAAATCAGTTAAAGTTTAATAATGAAAATAAGACACTGGAAAAGTGTTCGGACATCAACTGATTTGCAATAGACTTCTGAGTTTGTAGCGCTAGCATTAATGGGACGATGCAAGTAGTTGTCAGATTTTTATAATCTTTTCATAATCTCTAGTCTTAAGATCGATTAATTCTGTCGTCTCACCACAATGTTGACTTCGCTTTGCTTAATCATTTTAAAGTTATTATCACATTATATATGATAAGACTACGGTTTAAGTTACAGACCAAGGAAAGGTTTATCGGTTCTATTGATTGGTTGTTTGTGTATTTATTGACTCAGCATCTGTTTGCGCTGCCAGAGTATGTAGCAGTCCTAATAGCTGCATTGGGTATCTCACGAATGACTTCAGTACTGATTGATTAATCAATCAATCGATAATATAATGAATATTTGGGATCTGAATATTAGAAAGAATAATATACCGTACACACATGTTGTTACTTTAAAAATTATTCTAGGAACAAAACTGTTTTGTTTGGGGAAAAACTGAGGGTTGACGAGTTTTGACGAGGATTCGGACCACAATCCCTCTATGTAGCGTTTAAGTGTAGAATTCCTGGACTTCATTTGTGGGATTTCCTGGAACTTAAATACTAAGAAAGAACTAATTCATGAAATTGTTATGTTTGTCTGAATCAAGTGAACAACGGGTTCCCGCTTAGGAGATTTTCAACAAGGGCAGTTCCGTACCATAAATAGAAGCTTAAAATTGGCGATATATATAAAATTCAATTCACATTTTTACCCCGTGCATTAATGTCAAGCCGGACATCAGGGGTTGTATTAACCCCCCTGGCTAACGACTCACCTGTGATCAAAATCATGACAGACCAGGTTAATCTGCGCCTCAAGATCTTGCAGCTCGTTATGGCGTTGTATAATGAAGCCCCCCGGTTTACAAATCATTGCATGATCGACATTAAAGGGCTCTCTACAGACACATACATTTGTTCCTTTCAAATCGCTGTGTATTTGACTCTTTTTGTCATTGGTTTTTATTAAAGTTTTTTAAAACGGTATCTCGTGTCTGGTTTTATTGCTAGCAATTATTAGTCGCTTGTTTAATCACTTGATCCTTGTTAAGGTGACTCGACCCAGTTTTTTTTAGGGGGTACCATCCTACTTTGAAGCTCTCTAGTATCCCCACCTTTACTTTTATCGTAAGTATAACACATAGAATGGATAACATATAGATCAATCTACAATATAACATAAAATTTTTGGCGATCGGAGTAAATGTCACGTTGTTATAATGCCACGCCCCTTTAAGGTCTGAGTCGAAAATCTGCTGTTGCCAGCATTTTTTCGTGAAAATCTCTCGGCTACACATAGGGCGCATTAGTGCCTTGCGCTGAACAGAGTGTCACCAAAATCGCAAAACCCAATTCGAGAAATTCAGCGGTTTCCAAATTTAGGTCATAATTTATGCGAAAATGATAAGCAAACTTTACACGGATTATATCTAATAAACTATGAGATTCATCTCTGTATTTTGGGCATCCTTATAACAGATGGGCCCTTGTAAGTCAGCAAAACGCTTTAGGGCCTTGTAAATGCGCGTGATTTCGAGCAAAGCAAACATATAGAAATTATAGTTTTCGCTATTTGTTGACGTTTGTCGGCGGTTAAGAGTCAATCTCACGAAAAAAGCATTTTCTTAAAAATTCGTAGTTTTTTTTTCCTTTAAATTTTTTCAGGGCCACAATTGATTAACTAACTACCCGGACTCTGAATTTCATGGTCATTGAAAAACTGTGACATTATCTTCTATAAGCCCAAACTTGAGTAAACATTGAAGATTTTTAGCGTTTTGGCTGAGTTTGTGCTTTGGGAGTTGTCTATTGTTTCTAGTCTGTCATTATACAG